CTCTGCTCTGTCTGTCTATGGCACACAAGATCAAAGACACTTTCTTCCCCACCCCGGGCCACTTCCAAAACCCATCAATCCATCAGCGTATGAACACTATCGATTGTTCCAACAATACCATTCTGCTCCTCCGATACCATATGGATTTTGTAGGCCAACAGATCCTCCATTTTACAGATTTTCACATGTAGCTGGTATTAACAGAGATCAAAATTCTCACCTAATGGAAGAAACTACCTTGCTGTATCCAGCTTCTTTAAGCCCATCCCAACAATACCCTCTAAGTTCACATAAAAAACAAGCAGATTATGAAAAAGAAATGACATTATTGCACGCCAAAAGTCATTCTAAAGATGAGCAAAATGAAAGAGAGAATGCTAAAATGAGCCCTCTCGCAGGAAGCGCGGCAACAGGCTCCCCTGGCAGACCTAGCCCAACCAACTTCACTCAGACAAGCCAGGCATGCGAAGGCTTATTTGACCTCTCTAACAAGTCCTCTTCCACATCACTTGGCAAGTACGACCAACCAGAAGAAAACTTCACAGCTTTTAGACCTGTGAGAAAAAGCACCGATCAACCAACTCCACTTCCAAGTGTGCAGACACAGCAAGACAGAGGAGATTCACCTACCAGGTAAAATAATAAGATCACTTTCTAAATGCTTGTCAGATTTACTTGGGGCACACATAGATGGATACTTTTCACGCAATGCCTCTAAAATATATTTACATGTACAGCATTGAGATAATTTGGTCTATATTAACTGTGCAAAACACAGCACAACTCACAGGTGCTATAGTGAGCAGATCACTCATTCTCCTTGAATGTATCAGGTACTTCCAATGCCATTACTCTGTGTGTGCCTGGATATTTCAGGAAATTACCTGTATTGCAGCAATGTGTACAGTGAAAGGGACTTGGGGGAGTTAAGTCCCTGCCCACTTCCTCAGCCCCAATTTAAAAGAGCAACTAATAGTGAATCCTCTTTTCTCATTTCTTTCAGCATTAACGTCACCGATGAAGATTCACATGCACAGAACGAAAGCCATAACAATGAAGGCTCACTGTCCAACACGGAAGAAGACACAGGGATCGTTCCCCTTAACCTTTCAAAAAAGGCTGACACAAACACAGGACCTATTCATGAGCATGCATACAAACCCACAGCCAAAACAGAAAGTCAGAACTTCCTAGACTTGCAAGACATGCCTCTGAACCTCTCGGTAAAAGATTCCTGTAACACAGTGAGCCTGAAAACATCATTCCACAGTCCATCTCATGATAATGGTGCTGCTACTTCTCCAAACATCGAAAATGAAAGCTCTGGAGCAGATGCGTGTAACCCCAAGAACCCTACTACCAGTGCCTGTGACAAATCTTCTTTCACAGCTCACCGTAATGAAGCTCAAGACTTAAGAATAATTGACAGCTGTGATGAACAGAAACAAACGGCGGCTGTAGCGCTCTGCCAGCTCGCTGCGTACAGCCCCAGCAAAGTCAGAATGGACAACGAAGGGCAGAGTCCTCAGGACAGTAATGCTTCATGTACAGAAGCTACTCTTAATTCTTCTGATACTCAGGATACTCAGTGCAATCAAAAAGTAAAAGGACAAAAAAGGACAAATCAAAAAGAATCAGCAAAATCACAGCAAGGCACTAAAAGAGTAAGGCCAAATGACTGTAGCAGAGTCTTCACTTTAAGGAAGAGAACAAGAGTATCTTAATGCTACATTTTCCAGTGAGTTTCCAGCGATAGAAGCTAGTTACCAGCACCATCAGCAAACGTCTGCAATCCCACTCTTAGTGGGTTTGGTCCATGACAAGATACATTCAGTCTTTCCCATGTAAATAATGTGCATAATTTTATATTAATATTTTTAAGTAACTGAACTTTCCCTTGTATAAGCTCAGATTTTGATGAGTGAATTTTTGCATTCATTACTAAAGCCAAAGTACATTACATGAATCTTTAAGGTTTTTTGCATTTGTATTAATGTAAAATAACTTTTAAAACTTCTTTTCTTAAAAGATGTTTCAGGTCTAGAAGGAATATTGTTCAATAACATACTGTCATAGTCTTTTTCAGGCTTAATTTCATTTAATAGGATTTTTTTGTCTTTTTTCTTTGAAAACCTTCTTATTTCATTGTGCAGTAGTTTAAATAAGCTTAAGATTAAACCTGGCTATTTTAGAATTTACTGTAAAAACTGTTTTGTGTATGAATACACTTCACCATTATGCCAGACAGACCAACAGACCAAATTTTGTTACGGAGGACACCAGTTAAACAAACAGATACAAGACCTTGTACAACCAAGCTTTTCTTATGTCTACAAAGAGCAAGATGCAAGTTAAACCAGAGAGAGCCTGTGCCATTTTGACAAATACAATTTATATTCACCTTTAATAACCACTATGAAAACCATATTGAAAATTTGAAGAACTAAAAAATTTAGGTGCTTAATCCACTGCAGTTAGACACTGGGCAACCTTCAAACTCTAAGCCTAAAAGGTTATTTATATAATTTATTTCACCTGAGATGAACTCTCCTGTTGAAGGTCTTATTTCAGTGTACGTGCATCAGTAATGATCAGTTTCAGTGGGCTTCTACATACGTCCTAAAATTATTTTCTGCTTCTATAACTTTGTGTATAAACTCGCAATTTTTCAAATAAATGTGACCTGTATTTAAAATATATGGAAAGTCATTAATGAACACAAGTACATTCACTACACTACCTGTAACACATATTTTGAAGAAAAATTAGCAAAGAAATTGCTAGCTAAATTTTCAAGTAGAAAAAAAGAGCTTCCTTCAGTGAAGGAAGTTCATCATGCAGATTAATTCATCCCTACTTCAGTTCTCTATGACAAAGCTCAGAATTCCCTCTGCCTTAAAGCTGCTGTCCAACTTCTACAAGAGTTTAACTAAAATAAGGCTGTTCCATTGTATACACACCTCCCGTAAATTTGCACAGTACGCACTATCAGTCTACGTAAACCCAACCCAAACTAAATATTATTCATTTAAAACTATGGGGATCCATTTCTCTTTGATTCATTATTCAGATAAGAGACATCCTCACCTGCCTAAACATTACCAGTAGGTAGAAACCTACGTAAGGAAGCAGAGCTGCGGTCAATAAATGTGGAGTTCCCAGAATTTTTTTTCAGTACGTGATGGAACAAGAAGAAAGAGCTTCTTTCCAGGCCAAGTTTAAAGCTTCAAGCTTACAGACATATGGTACCAAATCCATAATTTCCAAACCTGAAATTACGGAGTCTGGTGTTATTGCTGCTGGTTTTTAAATTACATAAAACTATTTGCCTCTCTAATCTCTGTAAGCAGAAAGTTTCAGTTTCCCTTATCCATAATTTTAAAAAAATATCATGTATCCCTTTTGTTGTTAATTTGAATTTCTTCAAGTCAACAAGGAAAAACCTTTTGTTGGTTTTCCATACAATTCAAGGATTTATTCTTTCCCATCTCTGTACAAATATTGTTCATGAAAACCAGTTCCCGTGGTGAAGTCTACCTCATGTCCATTCCTCAAATTAAATAAAAAATGGGCTGAAGGGAACCATGAAGGTTAACTTCTCAAACAGCTCTCCGCAACTTGATTCACTTGATTTCTGTCCTACCTAACAGAATGGTTCTAACTCAATGTCCATAAAAAAATTATTCTAGGGCTCCATTTCCTTTACAATAAGAAAATCAGTCCTAATACTTATCTAACTATTCTCCTGCTGCAAATTATACCCATTATCTGTAGTCTTGGTCCGCTCACTAAAAACAATTGTCAAAAGTAAAGATTTTGTTTTAGGAGGAGGAGAATAAGCTTTCAGCTTTGTGTTCTCTCAACCAAATAACCTTAGCTCTTTCAGTCTTTCCCTCTCAGCCTCATTTTCTGTTCCTCCCATGATTCCTGCTGCTTTAGGCTAGCTTTCTTTATGGAAGTTTTGTTACAACTAGAATAGAGGCTTACCTTCAGATGACTTCCCATTCCTAAAGTTGGGGGTTTTTTAACAGTTTCATTTTTATCATGCAAGAACAAAAGTAATTAGAAAAGGGAAACCAAGTGCTACACAATAATTCTCACACGCTAAACAGACTATAGCAGACATGAAATCCTTTCATGGAGACGGAATAATAAACTATTAAATACCCTACTTCTAGAACAAGTCAACAGATATTCAGAAGAGAAAAGATTTGGCAACCTACTTTACCAGTTTTGAAATATTTTTGAAAATTAGTGTTCAACTTCTCTGTTCAACACAGAAATACCAGATGAGATCAAAAGAACCATCCAGCCCAAGATATTGCCACAGAAGCGCCCAACAGTGGATGTGTACAACTACACCATGCTTTTGTCATTTCAGCTCTACAAAAAATTCACCAAAACCACAAAACCAGAGAACTACTACTTTCACATTAATATCTCTGTACTTCAATGTTGGTACCTACAGAACACACAAAGAAACAATTCCCCTGCCCTGTTATTTTTCTTTCCATCCTGATATTTCAAAAACCCTTTCAAAACTTAAACATTTCATTGTATAAAACACGGAAAATTGGCCTCTGAAATTTAATCAGAATCAAACAGCATAAGCTACAACTTTAAAGTGCTAGTCATCAATTATTTAATATATTCTATTTAAATAATGACACTGACACAATATAGAGACATACAGAATTAATTTTATACAACTGTACAAAGAAACATGTGAGGGAGGAAGAAAGAAGAAAACCCCAAGAAATTAATTTCATTTTGGAAAGAAAAATTTATTAAGTATAAAAAAGGCACACCCAAGACAATGCTTTTGACAGAAGTACTTTAAAATATCCCCATAGGCATAATTTTTACTCTAGAATTCAATACTACAGTCATTATTCAGCAGACTCACATCAGCAAATTCCGTTCTATTGCCACACATTCAATCTCTAATACTATAAATTGTTAATTCATGAACTTACTAATATTCAGCAACTACAACTCACCATCTGAAATTCGGGAAGGGAGTAACAGTCCTCTTCTGCCCAATTCTGCCAGAGCCAGGCAGCCACCGTGCCATGCATTGTCTGTTTCCTGGAAACTAATTGTAAAACAAAGACAAGTTTTGTTAAGACCAGACTTCCCTTTTCGGATTTCATTTTTCATGGTGAATTCCTAACATTTTAAAAGACACATAATCCAAACCAGCATGTGTTTATTGTGTTATTAATCCTGTTAGACTTCTAAAATATAAGAACGACAAGTTGAACATGTTTTCTCTCCCATTTTGTGCAACATAAATACTGCTATAAACGTGATCAAATAAGCAAAAAACCCATTTATCAATATAGATGTAAACTCAATACAGAAGAATATAAGACCTGAAACTCATCCAGAAAAGGAAAACAACTTTCTATGCTGTCAAAAAACGCAGATTTATAGAACATACCCAAAATAACTAAGCAATATAGTGCCAAATACAGTCCTTTACTAGCAAAAGAGGTTCAAGTGACAGTTTCCAATAAACACATTATACGAGCTTATGCAGTGAATAGTGGTGTTGATTCACCCTTAAAAAACATAAACCAAAAGAGAGCAACTTGTAGCAAATACAACAAAAAATACCAAAAATGATATGCAAATTTTGGTGGATTGGTAGATAAAGAAGTGAAAAGGGGAAAGGTTGTGTGCTGCACGACTGAACATGCAAGAAGGTCATTTTGTATTAAACTAGGAATAGGAATCTAAGAACAAAATGTTGAACAGACAGACTAGGTCATATCAAAGCTTCATGAATCCCAGGATCCCATCTCTGACCTGGACCAATAGCAGATGTTTGGCCAAAGATGAAGCATAAAGGACCATTCCCTTCCTAGCCTCCTCCTGGCTTTGGCAACCTGCAGTGCGGAGACTTCCTGAGCCACAGGTTGCAGCCAGAACGCCATATTTAACAGGCTGTGATGGGACTCCCTTCCGTTAATTTGGATAATCCCTTTTTGAACTCCCTTTACACTTTTGGCTTCTATAACATCCTGTGGCAATGACTTCTACAAGTTAATTATAATTGTGTGAAAATGTACTTCCTGATGCTTCCCAGTTCTCGCATTATGAGAAAGAGTGAATAGCAAACAATTACTCGCTTTCCCTCTTTCTTTCATATTTATGATTTTATATCTCTCCATTATACCCCTCTACTTTTTCTTTCCAGTTGGAAGAATCCCCATCAGTTAAATTACCTTTCAGTGATTCAGTTTTGTTATCTCTTACTTTCCTAATAATATCTAATGTTCCGTTTGCCTTCTTTTTTCTGACAGCTCCTGAGCACTCCACTGACATTTTAACAGAACTATCAGTAACTTCAAGATCTCTTTCCTGAGTAGTAACAACTGTTTGATAGTAAGCTGCATTTTTTCCCCAATTGCATTATTTTGCATTCATTAGCCATTATATTTCACATTTCTTCTACTGTCTAGTTACTTAACTTAGGTTTAGATAACATTTTCTTTTCTGCCACCTTTAGTTTTCACCACATTAGCTAACTTTAAATCATTAATTGACTTCCTTGCTCCATTGTTCACCTTTTTTCCAGGATCCTTTATGACTAACATGGCTCATACAGACCCCTCTGGGATAGTGCTGATAATCTCAGCACACTCTGAAAAATGATCACTTATTTCTTCCCTGTCTCTTGTCTTTCAACCTATCTACGTATATAAGAAATCCTTTCTTCTTACCCCAAGTGATATAACTTAAAGTGCCTCTGATGAGCAAGTGACATTTCTATTTTGATCACTAAATATTTCTTGCAAAGAATGCAGAAGAGATTCCCTTCGTCCTTGCCTACATTTGTTCCCAGGTGTTTCTGAAGAAAGCAGGTCACTCAATTACTAGTTGCATTACTCATCCCTACGACTTGAAAAACAAGGAAAGAAAACACAGTGAGTACAGGTCTTTGAAGCTCCAAGGATAATTGAGAGCAGCAGCACCTCTTAAATTAATCACAGTAACACAGTGGAAGTATCGGCTAAGCAGATACTTTCCTTGCAAGTTTTTAAGACTTTCTACCTTCTTTCTTAATGTGTTATCCTTTGAGCTGGTATTTTTCATTGGTACTCACAACCAATATGAGAAGATTTGCTAAAACAGTACACCTGCATGGCAATCTGAACATTAGCAATGTTTTTTTGCCAATAAAGAAATTATTCTTTTTGTCATTAACTTAGTCTAAAACACTAGTTTAGATCTTAAAGCTCAAGTACTCAATGCAGACCTGATGAGCAACCTGATATAAAAAAAGCATGATATTTATTTAATATTTAGTCCTTTACATGCTCTACATGGATACAGAAACAAGGTACCCAGCATGGAAGCACATCAGAAGACCATCCTAGCAGCTGTAAGTGACCAAACCAAAGTTCCAGGTAGCCCCAAAGCCTGACACACCTGCAGTACATCCCTTGGTATAGTGCAAGAACAAGCACATGGCACCACTCTCCTCCAAACTCCAGCAGATCACGGACAAGTTTGCAGAAAAGAAAAACATTTTTGTTCAGGCACAGACTCTTATCCACAACACCCTGCTGCAAGAAGTTTTTCCAGTTTACAGTTGCTGTGTGAATAACCACCACCTTTTCTTTATTCCAAACCTGCCACCTGCTACTTCAGTTTGCTTCTAGTAATATAAAATCTAGAGGGAAATAATTTCCATGCCATTCATGATTTCTAAACCTCTATTATACGCCATTTATTCCTCACTCTTCCTAGATGTTCTAGCCTCCCCTCACACATCAATTGCTTATCAGCTCTGATCATCCCCAGAACCCTCTGGATTATCATTACCAGTTCTACTACGTTTCTGAAGATGCACACAACACTCAAGACATGAGCATACCAGAAATTTTTAAAGCAGCCAGTTAATAAGCATTTTCTATTTTTATTTTTCCAAAGTTGAACTTCAGTTCTTCCACATTACTTTAGAATGGGGTCAAGATGAAGGATGAGGAATAATTTCTTCAACACCCTTAGCACATCCATGCCTTAGAAGATTTTGAAATCTGGGAGAAGGGTAACAAAATGTACAGATTTTTAGACCTGTCTTCCTAATTGCTGTCCTCCTGCTTCATAAGCAGATGTGTTTCAGATGCATATAAAATGTGAAATAAGATTTTTACCTAAAACAGTCCAACAGAGACCCGATCACATCATCTGCTAATTCTTTTGGAAGTCTTCCAGTTATTCTACCAATTCTACAGAAGTTAAAAGAGAAAAAAAACACAACCAAACAAGCATAAAGTGATTCATTAGTACTGCATTTGATGAATAAGGCCAATAAAAAAATATAATTACTGGAAATTTACAGTAAAATGACTGACTCCAAGATGACAATGCCCTAAACCATTGCCCTAAACCAACAATCTCAAACTTGCAGCAAAAGCGACGCAGTAATGAATTTAACACAGAAATACATTTTTTTTTAAGTGGAAGAGAAAAACATATTTTGAAGAAATGCTACTTTACACTAATGCTAAGTCAAGTCTTATCCAGAATTTTTATTTCCACACCTATCTGAAATTTTCCTGAAGACTAGCCCAATTTCATATACACCCACAAAAAGACTTAAAAGGCTTTATACCATGAGCTGGGCTAAAGCCATGAAGTAATTGGGGATATTAACAATGCACACAAATTATCAATCATGGATTATATCAGACTGTATTTCTATGTTCTTTACTTTAGTTTATTGTTTTAGAGTAACATAAGAAACCTACCCTTTTGCTGCAGACCACCTGACAATAGTGTCTTTGTCTTTCAGTCCAACCAACAATTGCTCTGCAGATAATTTCATTTAAACAAAACAGATTATTTTCATGCAACAACAGAAAGCTTTCTTCAAAATGTTCAAAATTCATTTTCCTCTTAACAAAACTAGTTTGTGTTTAGTCCCCTAGTTTCAACAACAATATTTGTATTCAGCTTTCTTCTGTTTGCTATACAAGCACAATTTGAAATCAAAGAAACAAGAAAGATATCAAAATTGTTTTCTAAAAGAGAAAATTTAGTTTGAATTTTTAAATACTGTGGAAGATTCAAAATGGAGGTCATGGTGCTTTTTTCAGTGGTTTATTAGATTATTTAGTTATAAACATCTTCTGATGCAATTTTGCCTATTTATGTGCAGCATATCCACCAGCAAGCTAGCAGAGCACCTGCTGTATGACTACATACTAATACACAAATGCTGTTTCTTTGATACTACCACAGCTTAAAAATTTCAACCATAATTCTTTCATGTAACACAATTTTTTGTTTCAGCATTATGAATTTTAGTTCATCCTTCCATCTGTGAAAGGTTCAAGGTGTCTCTTTCATATTACTGGATAAACTTGGTAAAATGTATTTGCGTAACTCTATTTCCCAACCCCACAACTAATGCTACCATATTGAGTTTCTGCCCAAGATGCTAAAATGCAAATCATTTGACAGAAATACAGTGTATTCTACTCAGTTGCATAGATGGAATTTTTATAGTCTTTCCAATTGTTCACATTAGCACAGATACCCACACGACTTTCTTAGTAGTAAGCAGGTTGTTTCCCAATATAAGTTTAATTTGCAGGCCTTACAATAATTTCTGTCCAGTTTTAACACACCTACAACATTTTCAATCTCTCCTGGAATGTCATATTCCTCTTCATCATCATCAGCTTCATTAGCAGCAACTGTCATCATCTGATTCTGCACAACTGAACCCGGAGCTTGCAGATTGGCAGCCAGAGACCGACAGCCACGCTGGTATCTGCACAAGAAACACAGATTCTGATTTCATTCATTTTTCTCATTTAAGTTCCAACTGAAACAGGTACATACTGTCACAAAGCCTGATTGTCGAGTTACTGCACCTCCCAGTGTACAGCTCTTCAGTTATTTAGTGGTTGCTTTAAAGGAAAGGGAAAAGTATCCCGTTCTTCCTCCTGACCCAGTTGTCTCTTTTCCAAGGTGAGAAGAGCTAGACTATTTAAATGGTCCCTTTTCATTATCTCTCCCTTTCCTGTTTCAGTATAACCTACTTTCCACTGCTGACAATAAAGAAAGGCAAAATTCCCATGCCCTAAAAACCTCTCCAAAACCTTAAAAAAATATATTAATAAAATCAACTTATTAAAAATTGTTTTTTAAATGCTAAAGCTAGCTCAGTACTTTCTGCCCAAGCTGTACTCAGATATTTAGCCTGTGGTGCAGATACATTCTTACAAAAGATATTTTACATGCTAAACTGGCTTTTGCCATTGGGCAAGGTACACTCTCCACCTAAAAAGAATTTTCTATGCCTAAGGATGTTCTCAAAAGTTGGGAAAAGAAATACAATAAAAATAGTCACCAAGGGAGCCTGCAATTTTAAAATATCAGTGCGAGAAATCTCGAAAAGAGTTTGCCCTCTGGCAATAAGTAAAACCAGACACCAAAACCTGACTAATATGCAAAACGAAAGTGGGATTGCAAACCACTTTTCCCCTGTGAACTTTCTATCGAATCAGAGTAGAAATATGTAATGGAAAAAGTTATGTTCCCTCTTACAAAATTGTACTAAATCAACTTCAGTAACAAAGGTCACTGTCTTCCCATCTTTACCAGCTTATACATTATATAGGAACAGGCTTCTGCTTGTGTAATGTGCAACATGAAAAGTCAAAAGATTTGCCTTGTCACAGTGCTAATTTACTATACCAAAATTGAAAAAAATTACAGGAAACTAAATACAGCGGAAGAAATCTACTTTTTCCAAATAGTGCAAATGAAGAATGTGCTCATTCCCAAATTACTCAGGGATTTCTTTCTTTTTTAGGGAAGGGAAAGTTAAAAGGACAGAGGGCCAGTAGTCAAATGTATGGATTTAGATATTTTTAAGTTTTCTGACTGATTTGGGATTTTTTTTTTAAACTGTTTCAGCTTTAAACTAACCTCCATTTTGCTACCTTCGGTTTCACAAATGTCATTCCAAGTCGTTGAACAAGTTTCATCCCCAGCTTCCGAAGAACCATCTGATTACTTTCTGACAGCTTGCAGTTATCAAGGCACTCAAGTACAGTAGCAGCTGGAAAAGAAAATAAACACACTAGAAAAATTGTTTTTAAAAAAATCTCAGCAAGAAATTTTTGTAGTTTTGTAAGTTCTTTAGGAGACCTAGATTTTTAAAGGTATTACTGAAATGCAAATGCCTTATTACCTACTTTGTAGTAGCTTTGACACTGGTCAAATCCTTCACCTACCAAACAGGAAGGATTGCTTTAAGGATTACTATGAAAATTATAATGAATTCAGATTCTGAGATTATTTATGCCTCCAATTCTCACTGGAAGCAACACATTCAAGTATCTTTCGGAGCGCCAGAATTTTCAGTAGTCTAACAGAACCAGGAGTCAGAAAATCTAATTAATTTACTCTGCAACCAGTTTCTGCATACTAAGAAAGCGTTCCCTTTCCTCATTTATTATTTGCAGGCAGCACCGACTTAACTCCTCTGGCATAGGAATTTTTATGACTACGAATGTCCATAAACATTTAGACATGAGAAATACTGTGTATGTGTAAACAATCAGCAAGAAAACCTTTCATTTGGGCACATCAAAGGTAACAAAGTTATTTGTCCAGCAAAGTAAAAAAACGCAGACGAAAGGAGAAACTGGGATTAATGAGCATAAAGTTGCAAGAATGAAAATTTTCACAAGGAACACATTCCTGTGACAAATAAAACAGTCCCTTTTGCATTTTCAGCCTGAGATAATTAATGATTGTTTGGAAGGCCGATCATTAGTTCGAGAGACCAACAACTTGGGGTCCAAAGGATCTATCAATTCTTGCTATAATCACTGCAAATACAGAATCACACTGGCAAAATGCTCTGTGACCTCTTACTCCAGTCTCATATCAGGGTTTTCAAAATATAAAACGATCAAAGAAATAACAATTGTTTCCAAGTGTAAGAAATTGTAGGATGTGACTTAAAAATCTTCTCAGTTTTTAAAATGGCTTATGATTTATCCTGACATACTAAAATATTAATATAATAACAGACAAAAAAGTAAAGCCAGTAATGACCATTATTTCTATACCATCCAGCAACCTGGAGTTTTTTGTCGTTGTAAAAGCTACGGACTAATGGGTTAGAAAGAAGAGACTGCAGATATATCAATACTCACAGACAGAAAAAAAACATTAAGAAAATATCAATATAAGCCTCTTCCAAGTCCTGCCAACTCTTAAATTACTGAAGTATCTGCAGACTCATGCAGACAGTGTCAGGACTAGTGCTTAATTTTAAGTCAAGTTCTATGTTGCAGAAGATTTCAAACAGTATCTTCCTTTGACATTTGCTTATTTTTTTTTCCTATTTGATCCTCTGTTCTGTTATAACCTGTACTAACTAAAAATCTTTGTTACTTTTTGTCTCTCACATTTTCTTCTTCCCAACAGTTTCTGTCTGAATATTTGCTTCTTAGTTGTGAGTATTCTCTCTTTTCTATGGCAAATTTATTCATTGGTATGCCCCCAATTTTTCTCTTACTACCAGACTCATAACTACATAATATTCTTTCTATTTTCTATAGGCCAAACCAGTTAATTTTACCAGCAGGGTTAATGTTGTGAGCCACATATCTTCTTTTCATAACAATTATGACTATTTTGTTGAACAGTTGCATCTTTTAAAACCCATAGTTTTGTGTTATAGCATATTTTATCTTGCCTGTTTATTATTCAGCTTATCTGGCAGTCTTATTACTCTTCAATCTTCCGCAGTGCTGTTTGCTACGTCTGAGCGATGACATTCCTCAATATTTTCTCTTTGTTCCTGACCAGCTGTACAGCACATCTGCCATTCCATTCTGTTTGTCTTCAGTATCTTATCTCCACCTTTACTCACATCTCAGGTATTTTGTAAGGAAGCGTCTGCATCTCAGACTTAGTAACCGGGATAACAAAACTGTTTCCAGCACTGGATTTACAAAGTTTCTTCTTGAAAGTCAAAGTAATTGCATTAAGTGAAATCATAAGCATACTAAAGTGAGTTTATTGCTCAATTATAATTGCTTAATTCCTGTGAATAGCTCAGACCATATTTCTGGCGCTTTGATAAGCTCCACAAAACTGACAAGGTATTTTGTAGTGTTTTGTAACGAGCCATCATCTTTCCCTACCTCTCTTTACTGCTATCAGTAAAAAACAAAGTAGCATTTTGCAGTCAGTCTGACCATATTCCAGGATTCCCCATGAGACTGTAATTCCAGTATGCAGCTACACAGTGCAGAAACTTCTGTGCTCTCCTTGTGGATACCTGTCTATCCCTAATTGCATCCATTATAATCTCTTTTCACTAGAATTTTTTTCTCATTTCAACGATATCACTACTCCAGCTGGGTCCTGTACACAGTAGGTTCTTTAAACTGGGTCTTCAGAAATCCTGTGCTTATGTTAAAACTCGAAGATTTTCTGCAAAATTTTCAGCAGCAGTACATATAAAACTACTTATGTTCTGATGAATTTTTACAAATATTTTCCACATCTTATAGTTCATATATTCTGTGTTCAGGTCCTGTATTATAGCAATGGTGAACATGATCACCTGTCAAATTCTCTGATAAGCTGTTCCAAAATAACTTTCCCCAGTTGTGTCTGCTCCCCCCTCACTTTGTCAGCTCTTCTTTTTTTCCCCCTCATTTTGCATGCTTTAGAACTTCCCTGTTGATTTCACTCTTTACAGCACCACTTGTTATCAGTTTAATCTTTCTTTCCTTTTTGTATTGGAATGGCTTTAAAAACAAAAATCAGGCTATTACAAACTTACCGTATGGTAAACAATCTTCTCTTTTGCCATGTTTAAATAACTGTGCCTACAATACATAAAATAGACATGAGAATATAGAGATTTTAAAGCACAATATATCAAGCACACAGTTCTAAAATTCTTTTTTATGTTCTTGCAATAATTTGTAGTGTTTACTAATTTAAATAGCATAAAAGGAAAAGTCTCAGGGCGCTGTTTTGCTTTCTTGTCAGTCAGTGCAAGCCAAAGATAGTGTAGCCTAGCCCTCCCCTCCCATCCATACACTCACGCAGGCAGCCAACTCAGGCAGCCAAGTTGGCCAAAAAACACTCAAGAAAGAATCAAAATTTAAAAAATAAAATAAAATTAAATAAAAGACAGAAAAAATAGCCATTAGTTTTCAGCCAGCTCAGCTCTTTGAATCATCCAGCTCGGTGCTTGGTCACACGAGCTCAATGCAGGTGCAACCACAGCACCTATTATCTCAAAAAACTCACGTTGCTTTTAACCTCTAAAAAGTGAAGCAAAATTTGTGGAACACGGATAAAAGCACAAGAACTAGGGGTGCTCTGTATCCTGTTGGGACCTCCTGATGCTGAATGACTCCAAACTGAACAAGCCTTGCTTGCAATTTAGACAATGCAGTACACATCAACACGGGTCACGGCCAAGAAGCAGGACAGGAGGACACATGTGAGTGAGCTCAGTTATTAGTAGCAACCCCTCTCTGACAGGCAGGACATGGTACAGGCTTAAACTGCTGAGTATTTGACCCTGTCTTTCCAACAGTTTTTGAGAACTCCATGTTAAACTAAACAAAACTCGCTACAGAAATCTCCGACTGTAAACCCTGCTACAAAAGCCTCCAACAGGCAAATTTTAATTCCTTTGCCAAGGGATTTAAAGAAGCAAAGAGCTTCCAAAATAATTTTATATACAATTAATACGAGTAAGATTAAGCTGCAGCACTACAGTGAGACAAACAGACTATTCACACCTACCAAAAACATGTTACACGGTTAAAGTTTCCTCAGTTGACTTAGTATGCATCAAAACTACTGTGTTCAGTTACTTATTTTTCCTTGCTTTGTCATTAAGCAGAAGAAAAGTCTTTCTCAATAAATATGCCTAGGAGTTAAACAAGAACAGACTTACCTTAAAAATATGTACTTTCTCACACATACCAAATACACACATGCCTCCCGTATTGCAGGTGTGGTTAAAAGCAACAAAGGCAATAAAAACACCTTTAGGCTATGTACCCATTCTATTCTGTTTTGTTACTAAATTGCATTTCAGGATCCTAAATTAGCACTTCTGATCAGCTCTACTACAGACTGTACAAGGGAATTTGATAATATATATGGAATTATTTAAGATTTTTAATGTTTTCATGAGTAAGTAGGCAATTGCAAGGCATCCTTTAAAACCTACATTTACAAAGGAGAAATGCTACAGAAATACTTCAGGTCCAGAAGAACAGCACTTTGTTCCTGAGTTTTGCTTTAAAAACAGATGGTTTCTTCACAAGGTTAGCAAGTTTGCAGTGGATGCCAGGAAAAACTGCAGCATTTCTGCAGCACCTTATCTTCACAATTACTTCTTCTTTCTGTATAAACACTGTTTTTAAGGCACACATAGGCTGCCTGCAAATTATTAAGATTATATTCAAGCATATTCAAACAAAACGGAGTATAATTCCTGAAGAAGTGATAATGTAAAGAAAAAGCTTTTAAATATAGCCTTGGGAATGTTCCTGGATGTCTCCCCTCACGCTTCCCAGCATACTCTCTGGGAGCTCCTGCAAAGACTCAAAACCTCTACACGCTTTCAGTCTCAGGCACCTTTCTGCAAGTTTCTCCGTGAGTTTTCACATCCTCGAGGCCAACTTTGAATTCAGTTCAGACTCCTCAGGAAAAACATAACTAGAAGGTATCACCTCTAAGCAAAATGTGGGAAGAAATTAACACACACACAAGCAGGAAATGTGAAAACTCTTCAAATACTGTACAGTAATTTTTTTTAACGCTTTTCTAAAAAAAAAAATTAAGAAACCAGCCTCACGCCTATGAGTCAATTCAGAATAGCGAACTTGACAGATTCCATTTCACAATACCAGTCCTATTATTTTCTGAATAAAAAAGTCAAACATGCATTGTTTCCCTACAACAGTTTCACTACTGGCTTAAACAAAAAACTACTTTCATATCTAATTTTCAAGACAGAATATCTGTTCTCAAACAAAATACTGCAGGGATTTATAATATACTTTCAGATGTTAAAATCATCACAGCAACTGCTGTAAATCAATAGAGATATGGATTAAGGGATTTTTTTTTATTAATGTGAGTTTTTAGGGAAAGTAAAAATTAACCAAAGAACACCATAGCTACTGTGTTTAAATTAAGAGCTAAACTTTAAAAAACAGGACTTAGTATTTATGTGGCTTTTGTTCAATAGAATTTGTTACCTACTGACTTTGGAATAAACTCAACTGAAAATGCTAATGTCTGAAAGACAGTAAAGTTCTGTGTGAACCCACTAATGTACATTATACATACAATATAACATTCTACCAGATTATGAGCGTTTCAGTAATACATCAGGTACTTCTCCATATCAGAGAAAAGCTTAACAACTATTTTTACAAATATACCCCAATTTTTATAGCAGTAAATAGATAATTACCTAAATGTTGAGAACTACACTTCAGATACTCAACACAGCAGAAAATCCAATGTTCCGGCTTTTTTTTCCCCAATTGTAGAAATGTGAAGAAAAGTAATTTTCATTACTTCTTTATGAGTCAAAACATGCAAAAGCATTCACAAGCCCCAATTTCCCAAAATTGTGAGCTTACTAGATATATTTTCCATGGAAAATAAAAGAGCACTTTAATCAGTGTTGGCCTTTGGGGCGGAGGAAAATAAAAGAGCATTTTAACCCACGTGGGCCTTTGGGAAGGGTATGTATTTTCTTCTGGTGTGTGCTACAGTCATGCATGTAAGGCAAAATTACTGCCTCAGAAAAATCCTGCAAACCTAGAGCTTACAGGGGTTATACTAAAAAGAAAAAGTACACGTGCATGAACAGAAACATTTAAAAAAAAAAAAAAAAGGTAGAAAAAAGGACGAATCAGCTTTACAGTATTCAGCTTAAACTTCCTGCCTTGAAGGAAGAAAAATACCCAAGGCACACCGTTTCAAAAAATCTGATACAAACAAAATAATTAATAAGCTTGGTTTGCCACCTGCATAGCCATTTTCGTGTCAGCAGCTAACAATACTGAAAGTAAGAAGCCCGTCTATTGGCGTATCCAGGCAAAGTTACGCCATGGTCTCTACACTTTAATGAGGACATACAGCACACACCAACCTACCCAACCTGTTGAACTGTTGAAAAGTATGTGACTCCCTCTCTTATAAATAATTAAGCCACCTACAAATTAGAGAAAATCAGCGGTGTGCAAGCGATGACGACTGTCAAGTCTGGTTTTGCTTTAGAAATAGCATGGTGCAAGGAAAACAAAACCTAGTTTCTTAGTAATCACAGAAGAAACACACCACACCTTCCAATTGTCTGCATAACCCACTTTGGGCCCGACCTTCATGAGCTGTATCAATCAGGATCATCTCCAGGACATGTTCCCCAAGCTATACAAATCACCATTAAGGGTGGCCTGGCTGTTTGGTAGCAAGTATATCTTCCTGCCGAGCAGGAGACGCAGGTCTGAATCTACCCTCTGGATGTAACCAACCAAGTCAAGGATCGGGAGGATAATTTCAGCCTCTATGGGAAGAGAAGAAAATTATATCTTTCATTACTCTGGAGCACCCCCTAGTAGTCACACAACATCCAGGCCTGGGGAAAGCTATCAGCCATCCCTGCCTCCAGGCCAGATGTAGGGAGGTAAACAAGGTGAGAGAGGACACGCTGTCACAACAGTAAGTTTGCTTGAAAATAGAGAGTATTTAATAAATTGTGTGTGCCGCTAATGGTAAAACAGGTTAGTTAAAGCCCTTGTTCTTACTGTCTTCAACACAAATAGCTCTCCTTCTGTAGGTCTGTATTTGTCAGGATATTAATGTATGTGCCGCTAGTGGTAAAATAGGTTAGTTAAAGCCCTTGTTCTTACTGTCTTCGACAGAAATAGCTCTCCTCCCGTAGGTCTGTATTTGTTAGGATATTGATAATGTCATCATCAACAGGGGAGTTAAGCTGACAAACATCAATACAGAGCCCAGTTAAACAGATGGCAAAAGGAGTTCAATTTTCCTAAGATCTTAGTTATTTATCAGTTGAAAGCCTGAAAAGTTCAGACACAGAGAGCTAGCAGAACAGTTCCTTTCCAGCTTAACAAGACTACTCAAAACCACAACATTTGAGAAACTTGGAAGAAAAAAAAAATAGCAGCTTGACACAGCACTATATTCTAACAAGAAAAAGAAAGTCTTATGATAACAGAACTTCTGAACGTCGAACTATGGACAGTATTTCTGGTGAGAAGGAAAAAACTTGTAAGTATCAGACAAGGCCACATTAGAACACCCTGGGCCATTGAAAAAGAGAGGAGACACAGTATCACCAGAAAGAGGTCAGTGCCGTTGGTATCTGCAGACAAGAATTTTTCTCTTCTCCTTACATCAACACTGCTTTTTGTACACCTTTAGCACCAAACCACTAAGCAACAACAGCTTTTTAAAAAAATAGCGCCAATAGACAAACCTAGCATTGCTAATTCTTTGAGAATGCCAAAAATATAGAGACTTGGGAAACATTCTATTTGGAAATACTCTATTTTTGTGCCTCTGGGTCTGAAAGAATAGAGTTAGAGAGTTCTTTCTTCCCTGGAGCAAAATTTACATAAGCATGTAGCTATTGCTAAATAACTTTTGCATTAGAGACAGCTCAGGGAAATGCCCTGTTCTTAAGACTCTCGAGTTTCATCAGATCACTGTGTAGGGCGTTTTATTTTTTTTAATTATTACTCACACTTGTATACTGAATCACTTATAAAACAAATAAGGTTTAATAAGTTTCAATGCCCAAGGCTACCTCAACATGATGACATCTCTGTCACGCAAGAACTGGGAGTGCTACACCCTGCAGCAATAACTAAAAAGCTGTTTGATATAATGGCAGGTTTAAAAGCAAACCTCCAGACCAAGAGAATTTAAAATGCAGATTCTTGAAACAGGCTAGAAGTTTCCTTCAAGTAAACAAATGTTATAAAAAAACGTAGCAAATTGTTTCTAATTCCACATTTATAATCCTGCAAATATACAAAGTATCCAAGCACAAAAGTGAATTTAACTTAATACTGCAATGTTAGTTTCAACAAAAAGAGGGCAGTTTTAAAAACTGAACCCAAAATACTGCAAGTGAAGACTCCTGCTAGGGCACACCTGTTGTGAAATGATATATTACTGACGACAGGTGTAACCAAAAAAAAGAAAAAAGCATCAGTGGAATTAAAATGTGTAATGCAGGCTGCGTGTTTCAACAAGAATCATGAAACAGTAGTACTTGTTCTACACATAATGCTGAGTTAGATTAAACAGTAGCATACCTAATCACCAAGTCTTAAGGCCACAAAGAGGCAGATCAAAGTGCAGCAACATCGAACTACTCATTGCGTACCTAACTTGCAGTTTCAGTTCATTGAAATGCAAGAGTTTCATGTCATTTTAAAACAGTTTTGCCATGCCAAAATCACTACAAGCTATTTCTTAAGTGTAGACCATAAGCAGTAGAACACCACAATCCAACGAAAATGCACCCTCTTAGGGGCAGCCCTAAACCGATCCGATTTTCTCCATCAAGGCTTTTTATTCCCACCCCGGTGGGTTGCATTCCCAAAACCTGCCTTCTACTGACAGGAAACTGAAAAATGGTAATTGTTCTTCTGTTTCTTCAGAAAGAAATGCCCAGGCAACTACAGTTCAACTCTTCAAGTAACAAACTGCTGGAGGAATCCAAGGGTGAAGAAGTTTGAAGCTTGTTGACACAAGTTTTAGCTGTCCCTCCTAAGGATGTGTTGTGCTTTATACACTTAGTGATTACTTACTTTTATGGTTAAGAGAAAAGATTTACTTATTTTGAACATTTTCAGTTGATATTTCCGATGTAACAACATGCTTTGTCACAAATGTGTTACAAAATTCTTAATATTAAACTCTTAAAATAAATATTTCCTACTCCACTCAAGCATGTCTGTGCACACACATACCTGCATACGCATCATTCTGAAAACCTTTATTCCCTAATGATATAGTTCATGCTTACATTGCAGTAATTGAAATTAAAACTTGGAGACTGAACGCAAGAAAAGGCTTTAAAAATTCAATCTGTTCATACCTACCAACTAGAACAGGAGTTATGAGCTGCAGGACACAAATAAAACTGGCCTGATAAATACCTTCTCCTACCCCACAGAGGAGGAAAAAATCATATAAATGCAATAAGGCAGGCTCCTGCTTCCGGGTATATTGTATCACATTCTAGTTTCGATTCTACTTGTTAAGTATTCACCTGTTTCGCTTAGTATGCACTAATGAACAGGTGGATAGAGCCAAAGCCAAACTCAAAGGAATTATGACAAAACACTAATGTATTATACATCCTACAGGTCTCATCATGTACCTAGAATGGCAGTCAGTCTCCCTTTCCAGATCTGACAATGAAATGATGAAACATCATTCTGTCTTTTGAAACATGCTGCAATGCATACAAATAATGCTTCCTCCTGCTTAAGCAGCAAGTCCTAAGTTATTCTAAATATAGATCATTTCTTGTATCTTCTGATTTGGAAGAGCTGCTAGAGAAAAAAAAAAAAAAAACCAACCCCAACACAAAACACACACCTCACACTGGTTCCAGAACCTTGCTTTGATGCTTAGTAACACACTGGATACAAGTCCTCATAGCAATTATTCAAAAAGAGCTGCAAATTTATGCAAATTATAGAAACTTGTACAAACAGCAGCAAATCCTTAAACCTGTGCAAAGACTGTACAAGGGCATGTCATCGGCATTTGCTCGTGCTACCTCGACTTCGGTCAACAACAAAACCAAGAAGAAACAACTCCATCCACACAAAGTCCCCCATTCGCTTCGGTCAACAACAAAACCAAGAAGAAACACACAAAGTCCCCCATTTCACCCAAATATATTCAAACATCAAAACTGGAACAAATACCAGAATTGTTATTCAATTCAGTATTTCAAAATGCACACCAACACTACTAGAGGTGTGAAACTACAAGAAAGCTTTTTATAAAAGTCACTCTTAGAATGTACAAGAGGAGTGCTATCATACAGGAATGGTTCAAGTATTATAGAGTTTTTCCCATTAGTAGTATATAAGTTTTAAAACCCAACTAAGAATTCAGCTCTTGGAGTCATGAACTATTCATTGCATTCATAAAACTGCAAACTTCGCAAGGTAAGGCGCATTAAACAAAAAACTTGTTCAGATTAGCAAGCAAAACCAAAGGAAACAGTGCATTCTTTCAGACTACTCAAGGACACCGTCTAACAAGTTTAATATGTCTTATTAAAACCATTAAGAACAACATTTTAGCTGAAGAAGAATGGCAACAATTCTCAAGAATCAAACACTTTGGTTATCAGTTCTAAAAAGTCTAGGAGAGACTACTATATCAGAAGCCCTCACTCTTAGAATGTACAAGAGGAGTGCTATCATACAGGAATGGTTCAAGTATTATAGAGTTTTTCCCATTAGTAGTATATAAGTTTTAAAACCCAACTAAGAATTCAGCTCTTGGAGTCATGAACTATTCATTGCATTCATAAAACTGCAAACTTCGCAAGGTAAGGCGCATTAAACAAAAAACTTGTTCAGATTAGCAAGCAAAACCAAAGGAAACAGTGCATTCTTTCAGACTACTCAAGGACACCGTCTAACAAGTTTAATATGTCTTATTAAAACCATTAAGAACAACATTTTAGCTGAAGAAGAATGGCAACAATTCTCAAGAATCAAACACTTTGGTTATCAGTTCTAAAAAGTCTAGGAGAGACTACTATATCAGAAGCCCAACTGCTTCATTTTGTACAGTTCCAAATAATTTATTTCAAAGGTTCTTTTTCGAAACAAAAAAAACCCAACCCAAGTTGAATTATGAAATTACCAGTACTAAAGAATCAGATACTTAAAAGCATTTTTGAGAGTTATTTGTCAGTATCTATACTGGCAACTTCACTATGAAATTACCAGTACTAAAGAATCAGATACCTAAAAGCATTTTTGAGAGTTGTCAGTATCTATACTGGCAACTTCACCCCAACTGCTTCATTTTGTACAGTTCCAAATATTTAATTCATTTTAAAGGGTTTTTTTCCAAGCAAAAAAAAACCCAACCCAAGCTGAATTATGAAATTACCAGTACTAAAGAATCAGATACTTAAAAGCATTTTTGAGAGTTATTTGTCAGTATCTATACTGGCAACTTCACTTGAATTTGGTGATGACAAGAATAATTAAAGAAAATATACATACACAGGAAGTAACATCTTCAAAACTGTTGTGGAGGAAACTCTGTCTGTATATTAGATTATTCTTTTTTAATAAACAGGAACCTCTCCATGCATTTTCTATTAAAGGTCTACCACACCAATATTGTATGATCATAAACACAATCATCTAACTTTTAAAGGCAAAACAGTATTTACCAGAGCCTGGAGCATGCCATTCATAACGACAGTCCCCTCCATGGTCTGGAAGGAGGATTTAGATAACATGGAAAGTGTCCAGTCCAGGAAGTCTGCCATCCTTTTTTGCCTGACATCAGGGCGGACAATAAATCTGTTACAGAAAAAAAAATATAACACTGCAGTTACTAACTTCACAACTTTCAAAGAAAAATAATTTTTCCTGCTATCCAAACTGGTTCCAGTTCCTAGAAACAATTCTCCAATGGATATTTTCCTTAATGACAAAGTGAGGGAACACTCTAAATCACTGTATGGTTAGCCCTTCTGTTTCTGAGCAAGGCTCTGACCTAGAATTTCATTTTCACTTCAAACCAACCTATAAATTGGATTCTAGAGATTTCTCATCTTAACCATAAAGCAACAAACTTTCCAAAGGTCCCACATAAAAATTATTTCCAACAGAATTAGTGAAAAGCTGAAACAAATACGAGGATTCCCCACCATTCTCACCAAGAAGAGCTATTCTGACAATCTAAAAATTGGTGCAGATCTACAATGTAACCATACTGCCCTGACAGCAGCCAGGCCCCTAAGAGCGAGCAAAACAGTATTTACCAGAGCCTGGAGCATGCCATTCATAACGACAGTCCCCTCCATGGTCTGGAAGGAGGATTTAGATAACATGGAAAGTGTCCAGTCCAGGAAGTCTGCCATCCTTTTTTGCCTGACATCAGGGCGGACAATAAATCTGTTACAGAAAAAAAAATATAACACTGCAGTTACTAACTTCACAACTTTCAAAGAAAAATAATTTTTCCTGCTATCCAAACTGGTTCCAGTTCCTAGAAACAATTCTCCAATGGATATTTTCCTTAATGACAAAGTGAGGGAACACTCTAAATCACTGTATGGTTAGCCCTTCTGTTTCTGAGCAAGGCTCTGACCTAGAATTTCATTTTCACTTCAAACCAACCTATAAATTGGATTCTAGAGATTTCTCATCTTAACTGTAAAGCAACAAACTTTCCAAAGGTCTCACATAAAAATTATTTCCAACAGAATTAGTGAAAAGCTGAAACAAATACAAGGACTCCCCACCATTCTCACCAAGAAGAGCTATTCTGCCAATCTAAAAATTGGTGCAGATCTACAGTCTACCATACTGCACTGTCATCAGTGCTATACTTGTTCTCTCAGATATCTGAAAAGGCGAAACACCTGTGATCTAACACACTGGATAGGTGAAGAGATGTATTTTACCCATCTAAGAAAGGTCAAAAGAGGTTCATCATGGTTAAACTACTTCAGCAAACCTATACTCTGTCGTGATCAGTGCCAGATGAGCCAAAGTTAGGACACCTGCTTCAGTTATCTAATTGAGTATTCTTAGCACCTGAAAATTAGAGTCCTTTTCTGGCAGAGATTCAGGCTAAATTAAGAAATTCTGTTCTCAATGCAATGAAAGGAAACAACAAGGTACATGGGAAAGCCCACAAAGGACAATTCATAGCTCTCAAAAAAGGATGTATGCAGAGCCTATACCTAGTCACTTTATACACCTACAAATTAAATGGGGAACTACACCAAGAGCTAACTAACGGGGAAAATTAAATGCAGAGAACACAGGAAACGTTGAGCAGACACGTGGTGACTTGAATTGTCTTTAAAGTCAATATCTATTGTGTTCAGCAACAGAACAATGAGGATTTGGGGGAGGGGTTAGCTGGGGGGGTGGTTTGTTTAATAACAGAGCAGCAGGGACAAAGCTGCCTTTTGCACAATAGCGCGGGGAACAGAAGTAACCTGTAAAGCAGAGGAACTGGTTCCTAGACCCTTTCTCAGCCCAAAGGAGTTTAAATCTTAATTTCTCAAAGGAGTGCCCTAACCTCCAGACCAGAAGCAAGATAAGGATAAGCCTCATCTCCTCCTACTGCAACCAGGTCACCGAGTAGAGGGAGAAGAGAATTCATGAAACAAACTCCAGCTCCTTAGCCCTATGAAAAGTAAATTACTTTGGAAAACAGGAAGCCTTGGATCCCAATGCTTTTAAAGTACACTTAAAATCCTTGGGAAGTTCGTACTCCTTAGAACGAGAACCCAGACCTCCTCTTCCTCAAGGAGTTTCCTACTCAGCGTGTTACAGAGTTAGACTCCTGTACCTTATCTCTGTCCATCCTAGGACTTTTGTGTTGCTGCCTAACAGTCCCACTGCAGGATGATGAAACAGTGACCTCACCTCACAATAACTATGCCCATTCATTAAAGAACTGTTTTGGGATATGAAAACAATGAATTCAAGTGCACAAAGGCCTAAAGGCCTTGGACATGGGTCTTCTAATTCCTGGTGAACTGTTTTAATCATTAGGCTACTTTGAAAATGGTGTTTTCATGATAAACTAAATAATTATAACTATGCTAAATAGTAATTTTGCTATGACGTGACAGCCTTACACAGCTTGATGCAGCTGGCATTAGAACCAGCTTAATGCATTCTATTACCTTATTTGTTATGAATATATACTTTTAATACAAATTAATTCAGCCAATAAAACGGAGGTGAAGGGAACATAAGACAACTGCCAATAACATGCCTGCATAGTACCCTGCGTTAGGATGCAAGGCACTTGTGAAATCCTCCTGAAATCCAGGGCTGAGCACTGCAAGGACACAAAGTTTTGCCTAATGCAATGCTGTAATCGATCACATTACTAAATACATGCTTCCACCAGTAATTCATTTTTACAGATACCCTGGAGTGTAAATGAAGTGCAAATTCAATCACTATAATGTGATGAAAGAATCTTTTTAAATTTTTGTCATCCTTACTTGAGAAGGCTTCCAAATACTGGTTATACCTTCAAGAATCTACCACAGCTGGTTGATTTGGGGTTTTTTTCTGGGTTTTTAGGAAGCGAAGAAGATAAAGGGCACATTCAGGCACCTATGAATGGTCAAGAATAATTCACTCTTATATCACACACTCTTATTCACCTCAAATCCTCTGATTCCATCAACTTAGAATCACTTGTGATAAGACAGATTACCAATGCAGATAAATAAAAATCCTAGGAAAGCTACTTCCAATCATCACTTACAAAATTACTACAAAAACTAATTAGAATAAGGAGACAAACCTACATTCTGTCACATGGAAATAATATGTAATAATTCATGCATTCACTTAGATTTTGCTCTGAAATATTTCAGAGGAAATCAGAAAAGTACAGGGCTAGTCACCAGAGAACAACCATTCTAGTCTCAACTCCTTTCCACAACAGAGGGTCAATTCTAAAACAAACAAACAAAAAAGTTTGTTTTGTCATCAGATTCTGAACTGTAGCGTTATACTGATTAAATAAAAATTTCTAAAGCATTTGAGTCCCATTACTGAAGTTCAGAATAAAGTTAAATTAAGTTGGACAGTTATCTCCTAAGACGATAGTTAGGATCTGCTCTACTAAATGTTATCTTTGAGGACTATTTTGATTCAATAAATCCCACAAATTTTGTTCCTCTTAATCCAGAGAAAAAGGTTAATAAAGATTTTATTGTTCAGACCAGCTACCCAAATCCACTGTCATCATTTCATCTCATTCACCCTACCGAGCCTCTGCTCCTGCAGCTACACTGGCAAAACTGTGTTGGCAGAGCCCCCTAGTGTAGAGTAGACGCTACTGTCAAGATTCGGGGCTTTTGCTTGCTTTAAAAAGAAAGAAAAAACAATTGGCAGAGCCCCCTAGTGTAGAGTAGACGCTACTGTCAAGATTCGGGGCTTCTGCTTGCTTTAAAAAGAAAAAGAAAAGAAAAAACAGAAGACAAACCGAGCTGACTAAAGCCCCTTTCCTCTAGAATATATTGGAATATGTACTGTGATATATAAAGGAAAAAAGGTATGTGTGCACTAACACAGTTTATAGCCTTTGTGATTTATTTTTATATGCAGTATAAAGGAAACCGATCTCCAGTAATGCACTAGAAGAAAGGGGAGATACAGAAGTTCATTATTTCAAATTTATAAACAACCCTAGCATCAGTATTACTGAAGTGATGCAAAATACTTCAGAACTGCACCTCTGCCACAAATTGCTTGGTGTCTGAACATCAACCATGTAAAACAACGGCATTTAGAAAGTTCCATTATCCTACATTCATTATCCTACACCTGTTTCATTTGATGAATTATTTGACAACAAGAAACCTAAGAAGACAGAAGTATTGTTTTCTGAATGAGAGAGTGAAGAAAGTGACAACAGGGATATTTAGAAAATAAATTTTAGCATTACTATTTCCTTTTACATAAGTAATACAGGGAAACATCAAAGCAGTGATACTCGATACCAATTCTCTATTGACCGTCCAACACACTGCAAAAATCAGCAGCAACACAAACTGTATCCTCCTCTAACCCTGTAGCACAAACCAGTCTCTAGAAGACAACTTGGACAGGATCCTGTTAACAGCAAAGATCTTTATTACTTGCAATAGATACCTGTTCCTCTAGTAAGCAGAAGAAAATATAGAATTTCCAATAATAAACACACTACTGAATCTGATTCAGCAAGTTTAACATCCCACATACAACCAGCAACTTCCAGTCCTCCCAACACCATTATTAGTAGCACGTCAGACTGAAAACTGGCAGGAGAAACAGGAGCTCGCTTTTTTCCTTTCTGCCAAGAAGCACAAAAGAGACTTACTTTGAAACCAGTACAGCAGCTGCATCTCGAGCCTTATCACTGACAACCAAGTAACACTAAAGGTAAAAGAAAACTAACTGTAAAAGAATTCATACATGTAAATTTCATAACAACTACATAACAACTTTGTACATGAATATACTACTTAATATTTATGATTACAAACATTATTATGATTACATATATTACGTAATTATTACGGTTACAAGCTGACCTTAAGATTTAAAAAAAATTAAATTTCCCATTTAACAAACCGTATCTCAGACAACAAAGTCTCCCTTCTAGTGTCTTTCAAAGCAGGTTTAGCTTTACTGAAGCCTTAATTTACAGTCATACTTGTGCTACTACGTGCCTACAAGTGATAAGCCACTTAAATGCTGCCAAGTGTTAAAAGCATAAGCTGTTCAGGTATTTGTGAGGAGGGGGTAGTGGTTTATTTTCATCTTACAGAGCTGACAAGTCAGCCAGTTCGGCTTACACGTAGTGAAACTATTATCTTTGTTGAAAATTCTTCATGCAGTCATAGCTTCCAATGTTCCAATGTTAATCATCCTGATAAATTGCTAATTTCCTATATAAGTCACCAAATACGGCTTTCAGAAAAAGCTAGCCAGTATTTTCAAATGCTAAAAGCTGTTAACACAATCAAAAGCATGCATTTGTATCAGATGGTCACAAAATAAGATAGTTTATCGCTCCAGGGAAAACAGGTAAGAGTCTCATCTGACAATAAAGCAGCAAAGAACATATGAAGATTCCAAAACTATGGAGAAATTCTTTACAGATTAGATAGGGAAAATATGGGCTTAAGTAATATAGTGAAAAGACAGTAATATATTACATATTGAAAGATTAAGCCTAAGAAAAGTATCACAGGTTTGAAGTATTACAATATGTATTATACTTACTTTTGCAATTTTAAGTATGCGATCCATTGTTGGCACACGAGCATGCCCTTCCTCAGAAATAATATTTCCATCAAACCGGGCCAGATCAAAAGGGATCAAGCATATCATGGAGAGCCATAATAAAAGCATATAACGAGTTTCCCAAGTCTGGAAAAGAATGGTAAAAAAATATGCACTCCATTTTCTGGAACATATTCCAACAAAGTGCCCAGAGCACAAACTCCCCCCCCCGAGCTCCAAGGAACTTTCAAAGTCAGATGATGAAGAGAAAACTCCAAACCTGAATGCTCTGAATTACCAAAGGAGACAGAACTACGAAAGATTCCAAACAGGAAAACAGTAACAAAATTAATGGACTCTCCTCTCTGAATCTGAAATCCAGACGAGTTTATTTTTGTATGAAAGGAAAACTGCATGTTGCCATTTTCCCGTTTTCTCTTTCCATTTGTGCCTCCAGTTACAAACATGAGAGAAATACATTCTTCCTCCTAATTTCTGAGATATTGTTGTCATAGGTTTACTGAAACAACTTCAGATCTATATTGAGAGACAGACAGACAAGGAGGAACTTTTATAAGCTTTAAAGTGGTATAACTACAACAGCAGCAAAATCGTCAGAATTGATAATGTTCATTAAAAATTTACTTTAATTAAGAACAGTAACACAATTATTGTCTTCATATCCATGATTTTTGTTACTTGTAACAGATCATGATTCCTAAATAATGTCTTAATTCTTCTGGAATTCCTATTTTTCCTTATTCAAAAATATAACACTATGAACTACGGTATCTTGGAGCTGGACTCAATGATGTTTATCGGTCTTTTCAAACTCAAAATATTCTATGATTTCATATTTTCAACGGTCGCTTAAAATTATTTGCTTTAATACTTTTTTGAATCAGAATTCTGGCCCAGAACATTCCCAGCTAAGTAAGACTTTAAATTAGCGCACATAATGAAGTTTTCAAACTGCAAACAGGTAGAAAAAAAATTTGAATTTCTGTGTTATTTTTCCACATCTAGAAAAATATTATCAAAAGGTAAAAATCCAAGCAATTCATGCCTTATGCCATAGCTGAGCAATTTCCTCCAATATTCACCTCCCTCCTTTCAAAAAGAAAAGGCAAAAAAAAAGCCCTCAGAGGTCTGAAGAGAGATATTGGGGGGTTGAGAGTGAATAAAATATTTTATGAGATTAAACAAAGAAAATTAATTATCTTCTTCATGTCCTCATCAAAATAAAAGCTCTCATACCAATTCTGACAAAACCCAAAAGTTCAAAAACTTGAAATACTCCATTTCCTATAATTTAACTTTTATGACTTTGAGCTAAATTAATGTGACTGCTAATGATATGCATAGCAGAAAGAGCATTTTTTAGTTACTCCTTTTAGAAGTTCAGTATCTTTCACTGCCTTTCTTACTACTGTATTTTCAATTAATTTGTTCCCTTATATGAGTGGTTAGATCTTACTTGTACCTCAACTGCCATCACCTCTAAATCCTTAGAACACAACCCATGAAAGAAAAACACAAGACCTCTACTTCAACCAGACATTTCTCTTCTGACGAGATGACTTTCATCCTAAATCTAGATATTCAGTTAACATTGGACAGGATGTATGACTGCTTTACACACTTTTTTCAAGATTTATTTTCTTACATCTTTCATCAGCTTTTTCTGTAGGAGACATAAAAGTTAAGCAAAAAGTGCAGCAAGTTCTCACCTCAGAGTCTTTTGGATTCTGGTCTCCAAGCATATCCAAAACTGGCTGTAGATCACCTACTTCATGAGGAAACAGCGGGAGGAAGAGTTTGTACCCTCTCACCTATAGCAGAAAGTATCAACATTTAGTTAAGCCATCCAGCAGCAAATACTGAAGAAAAAGACAAGACCCTTTGAGGAGCTTCTTGTTTATGATCCTCACGTAGTAAGAACAGTAAGGATATGAATTAAGGTCTTAAGTACCTTAAGATTTTTGCGTTTTTACAACTTATTAAGAATTAATGAAATTATAATTCTTTAACTTTAAAGCAAGGGACCTCTGGAGATTGCTTGGTCCAGCTCTCCTGCTAAAGCACGGTCACCTCCCGCAGGACCATGTCTGGCAGGGTATTCAGTATCTCCAGGGATGGAAACTCCACAACCCCTCTGAGCAATCTATTCCAGTGGTCAACCCTCACAGTCAAAACTGCTTTCTTATGCTCAGGTGGAAATTCCACAATCCATCTAATTCTTCATTATACTTTACTCTTCTTTTTAACATTATGACTCTTGTTTTACCACTTAGTATCTCAATGTCTGTAATTTTTTTGGATTTAGACCCTGATTTTTACTACTCCGGATCATTAAATAACACAAGCTATCATGACTCTCTTAAAAAAAAGAGAACTAACCTTTCACAGTACAGTTTAAAACATTTCATTGCATTACTCAATTATTTATGTCACTACTTTTTAAAACGTTAATTTTTTTAAAGTTATTTAAATAGCAAAGAAAATATGGGGAATTTACACATTTCAGTTACAGAACGTTAAATTTGGGGGTTTTTACCTTTGTAATGATGTAAAGAAATTTAAAAGCCAGGTGAACTAGTGAGGGAGGAGAATCCTTGTTCCGTACTATATCCAACAACGAACTCATCATCCACTCTAATGAAATGAGAGAAAAAAAAACCAAGTGAGACTACATGCAGTTAGCTTACAGTTTCTCATACTTTTAATAAAAAAGGGGGAGATAGCAGTCATATTACATAAATAATATCAACCACAGAATTGCAAATATGGACCTTCTAGTTTAACAGATTTTCAAGTATATGCACAAAAAAGTATTTAAAAATGACATCCTACCCAAGTGGCGATCCAACAAGTGAGGTTGCTCCTGGTACTTGTCCATTATACCTGAAAAGGAAAAGATACCTGTAATAAGCTATTGAAATTAAAGAGTCTTGCAGGCATTAATTGGAGATACACTCCTGATTCTGGACAACTTCAGCTTAACATTTCAGTATCCTTCAGCTAAGTGCTGCCACTACCTGTAAGCATGGTCAAAAAGTAAGAAAATTAGAGAGACGTAACTATAAAAATACAGTCCACTTTTGTAGTGCAATCATTTCCATTGAATCATAAACTCCCTTCCAGGAGTCTCTCAAATTACCACGGACAAATCTCACAGCGAGATGAAACAAGCAATCACTCCATTTCTTGCTGCCCTTCACCACAGAGCTCTTTGTGGCTCTCCATTCCTAAGCACAACTTACCAGCACACCATTTCTGATGGGACCCTACAGACAGAGGACATCACACCACATCAGGCTCTGCCACTCCAGGTGAACCAGCTGTGCACTGCCTCCTACCCAAAGCAGCCAGAATGCTGCTTTACACCTTTCTGCCTCACTGTTCACATCTTCTTCACGAACATACAGAATCCCACTTACTTTTCACACTGTTCCATTTACTAGCATGTCAAATTACCCACTGTCTTTAAAAGATAACTCAACAACAAGAACTGTAGTAGCATAACAGTTTTCCAACCCCGAGGCTAATACCGCCATGGGGAAATTCTCCCTGGTCACACTGGGTCTCACCACAAGGCTATCTTCCTTCCCATGCCTGGAACATATTTAAAGATATAGTTCTACCCCTAAGGATCTGTACTGAAACTGGGTATAGGCATTACAAAATTCTTATCTCTTTGTTTTGAGCTATCTTACTATACCAGGAACAAAAAACAACCTATTACTACTTTGCAAGTGAAGGTGCTCTTCACAATTCTCAGAGCTAGATTTTTATTTTGAAATTAAAATTATTCAGAAAATTATTCAGCAACAAACTTTAAGACTCCTTGACACATTTTATCCTGTAGCTATTACTACCTGTGCTCCTCAAAACTTTTCACATTACTTACTTTATCTTGCTGCCAGTAATATGTTATCTTCCTTTTGGGAACTGACTTGAGGACAGACAAATTGAAATTGAATATTGAAAAAAAAATTAAGAACATCTTGCCACAGTTTTTAGAAACAAAAGCATTTCAATTTAAACCTACAATCAATGAAAAGCAGCTACAGAAATGAAAGTTGGATTTCAGAAGAGATCATCAAGTGATCCAATATTGCACTGGAGATTGCCTGGGTCATTTTAGATATTTGGTCAGAAAACAGCTTTTTATTTGGGAAACTAAAATACCTTCTTAACCTCTCCATTTTCTGCACTTGCTTCTCTCTCAAATTTTGCTCTCTATCCCTTACCTCCACTGCTCACATTAACACTTAGATTTAAGACACAACACAACTCCAACGGTGCTGCAGCTGACCAGTGGATGACACTGCAGAACCACTTCCAAGACACCGGCCAGTCCAACAGCATCCTTGCAGTAACTGGTGTAATTCCACTGGGATACCAGAGTGCTGTCTCCTGTCAAGAGGGAAGCCTGAGCTCCTAATCATCAACTTCCCATTGTAATTAACAATACCTTAAACTGCGTACAGATAACATAACTAGTGAATACGAGAAATTCCATCATCACTCAAAGCAATAGCTCTCAAGCAGAAGTGCAATTTAATGGCAAATTCCTTATCTTGCCAAATTGTTTTCCCAGATCACAGTCCGGTAATATAAAATAAAAACCTAAATCTAAATGCTGAAGAGAATGAACTGAAAAAATGTTCTTCTAATGCTATTATTTCAAAAAAGATCTTCCTAAATTTTCCTACAAAATTATAGCTGCAGATTAAACTATCTTCCAAACTTCTAACAGGTCACAAAAAAATGAGCATCACATGGTTTTGTGAATGCTTTGGAGACCTGCGTTAAAATCTTCCGTAACTGATCATTTCTGCAGTATCTGGATACAGATGAAAGGTATTCCCTAAGCTTCAACATTATATCCCACACATTTAGCCTGTTTGGGACATTTTGCCCCAAAAGAATCAAATGATACCTTATGACATTAAATATTATAACCAAATATTGAACGACATGTACAGTACCGATCAGTTTTAAGTTTACTGGGCAATGATACACATGCAGGAAGTTTATAAATACAATTTAAATACATAGAGATGGTATATGTGATATGAAAGACAGAGAGGCATAGTGAAATCATTGGTTGGAGAAGGTCAGGGCCTTTCAGACACTGAGATTTTTTTTTCAGTAATAGCTTCTGTATCCCATCCAAGTCTACCATTTTGCCTGTGCTACAACACAAATATGAGTGTTCTTGCTGCTACTTTCTGAACGGCTACATGTTCATCATTAACCTCCTCAGATGCAACAGTTAAGTCAATTGAGTATAAATCTGCTGAGTAACTTCTGCAGGGCCAGATTTCCAAATTTGGGGGATTCTGGCTTATTGCCTGCCTACCTCGCTTCTTTTTGTCAAAAACACTGACACTGGATCAATATTTTAACAGTAAGTTTTTGCAATTTCACTGTTTTTTGCAAAAATACTTATAAAATGCTAGTCCACTTAATTTGACTCCTAAATACATGAAACTTTGAATTAGGTTTTGCAGATCACCTGGTCAGACTATTGGATCCAATACACAGATGTGGATTGTAACAGGCTAATTACCTAGGACACTGCTACATGCACATAATTACACCAATTCTACATTCAGCTGTGCTCTAGAAGCAGAATAGCTTCTGATGGCACAAAAGCTCAGCTACTAAGTCAGATCCAAGTTGCTTCCACTCAGAAACAATTTCGTGATCTGTATGGAGTCAGCTATGCTTTATATTTCATGTATAAGTAAAAATATGAAATGACCACTTTAAAGGTCAAAATGTATGCATTTTTCAAGTAATTAGGTACAAAAATGGCTTTGTCAGACACACAAACTTTAACTAAATTATTATCTGCATTTAAATAGGAAACAAGACTAAACATAGGTTAGCATTCAGATTTTTTAAATTCAAGACTTGGGTCTTTATTTACAATAGTTAAATACGACGTAATAATGGACTATCTATCTGGAAAACAAAATAAGTAAAAAAAATAAATCCAAACTACCTGTTGATAAAATTCCAGCATTATCACTAATCCAAAATTAGCAGTTTAGTCCTTTTTGGTAATGAATTCTTTCAAGAGACACAAGAACACACTCCCTTTGGGTGACGTGCTTACCTATGAATTTTTCCATTGTCGTTTCTCGAGTCACCAGATCCCCAAAGACTCCCTTCAGGTTACCGATGAGCCCCCGGACCTCCTGGCTCTCTGTGAAGCTCTCCAGGATGTTCCTCGTGGTGATGACACCCGGCTCCTGACTCCTGCCATCCTCTGTCTCCGGCCCCACTCCATCCATCTCGTCCAAAGCCATGCCCGTCAGCGCTCCCTGTCACAGCTGGTCACGGTAACAGCCGGTCACTCACAACATCCCTCCCCGCAGGGCCAGGCTGAGGCGACCCCTCCCTCAGGCGGCACCCCCGCTCCTCACACACGGCCCTGCCCGCCGCCAGGCGGCCCACCCCGCCCCTCCCCGCTGGGCGCCGCGGGGCGGAGGCCCGACCCGGCCCTACCTTTTTCCTCCCCAGCCGTCCCACACGGGCGGTGGCTCTCGGAGGTGGCCGGCGACAGCAGCGGGGACGGCGAGCGAGGCCCTCACCCCGCGGGCAGCTCCCGCGTACGGCGCCCTGGCAACCACCGCCGCCGCGCTCTCCTCCGCCGCCCCGCGCGCAGCCTCCCTCCTACGGGGCGTCGCGCGGGACCAAAGGCTGCGGAAGACGGCGCTCCCGCGCGTGGCCCCGCCCCTCTGCCGCGTGGGCGGGCGGGAGGCTGAGGGGAGGGGAGGGCAGAGGGCGGGGAGGCGGGAATCAGACTGCGCCGTTATTTGAGGCATCCTCCATTTCTCACCCTACCCACGCCAAAACATTGGATTATACAGTTAATTATCGACTCAAATTATAGAAAAAAAAATAAAATTCTAGGAACAAAGTCTGAACGCTGAAAACTACAGAAAAAAAAAGGGAAGGTATGGGCAGACTCAAATGGCTGCCCCCTTGCAGAAGTTCCAGTCCCTCATGCCAGATTCTTTCCCCGTTAGCTTTCTCAGGAAGGTATTGCGTCCTTTTGCAGCCCAAGACATACAACATCTCCATCCAGTCTTCCCACACTCTTTCCCCCTTGCTACCAAATATTTCAACAGGTATTGGCAGTACTTTTCTACTTCGGGTTTGATACAGCACCAACAATGGAGTCAAAAGTAGACATTGACTAAGCCACCCCAGGTTATCTTTTTACTTAATAGAAAATAAACTTGAAAGGTGAGACCAGCTGACAAACTGAAATTGGTGTGCAGGGTGAAATGAGCCACCCTCAAAGGTGCTTGTTTATCTCTTGATGATAAAGGTTGATTATGAGTCTGGTCAGGACGTTGGGACCAATAACTTCTCTTTTCCCATATCCAGCAACTCCATCCACACCCGTATCCCATCTCTTCAGGCTCAAATTTCTTAACAAAAACCACAATCACAAAATAGAGGTACACCAAATGGATAGTTTCTGCAAGGCAAGTATTTTATTTGAGAAGGAGAAATCATAAGTTCACATGTAGTTCCCAGTGTAATACGTGTATTTTTGTTGACATTAATAAATATTGGTAAGCATGCACTTTGCTGTTTTCTCAGACCTGGATCTTCTAGCTATCAGCTATGATTTCAACTGTATTCTAACTATTATTCCACTCTTCCACTGTTATAATTGTATTAAGACTTATAACCACACCGTTACAACTTCCCCTAATCGTAGCCCTAATTCAAAAGAAGTGAAATTTTTAAACTATATTTATAGAGAATGAAATGTATTTTTTTAAATAGCATAAATTACAAATCTAACTTCAAAATTTATGAAATTTTTATAGCACAGCCATCTAAAGCTGCAAAAAAGTCTAAACATATTTGAACATTTTTTAATGTAACATTTTAGGTACTAGTCATGACAACCATCTGAAGCCTAAATACCTAAAATCAGTCATTCTTATTCAAATTTTCTGATTCATGTAAGCATTTGCTGGACTGCACTTACATTTACTTCCTTTACACCTTCTTCCATTAAAAAATCAGGGATTTGTTAGTATACTGTAGCTCACATCGCATGCCAACATCTTTACACAGTTTTTTTTCCCCAAATTCTCATTGCCTATGTTTTCTGTAAAAATAAAGCAGTTAGGAATATCATAAAACAGTATAAAGCCATCCAATTCGACATTGTTCCTTCAATCATCCAGCAGTGGCAGAACAGACTAGCTTTGCCAACTGTACATTATCTTATAAAATTGAAAATACATCAAGCACCAACCAACACAGCAGCAACAGATGCTTTCTTGTCATCAAAACCCTAGGCCCTCCCTCCCACTTTTTGCTATCTTTTTACAAAGTTATTTAAATGTGTTACTATCATAGTATAACATACTGAAATATCATACTAAAACTATGGTTTATTATCACCAAACTTGTGTGGTAACAACCCACTTTCTGACCACATAGTTAATTACCACGGAACCACAGAGATACCTTTTTTACAAAATATCACTTTAATTTAATTTATCATAGTAAGAGATAAACAAAAGCATGTAAGTAAATTACATTAAATTAAAATAAATACTATAAATGTTATTAATTATATATATGCTTGCCAAGTGCAGTCCAAAGGGCCTTGTCTACTCTTCAAATCAAAAAGAGAATGTTTTCATTTTCAGATTCATAGAATCTGATGTAAATTTTGGATCACGACACTTAACATGAGAAAGGAAGGACAACAGAAATAGAAACGGGAAAAGGGATGGAACCAGAGACAAAAAACTAAAACAGAACAAAAAAGGGGAGAGGTAAGGAACTAGTTATGACTTCCAACACCACAATCCCACAGCAGCTCTCGATACGGAGCTGCCGACAGAGCAGCAGCATTAGTGGCAGGATGCAAACGGTGGAAAGGCAGTAGCCCAGAAGCGAGGCTGTGTGCAGAGAGCAGGGTTAGGCTGTCAGGCTACTTTTCTGACCTAGTGGAGTCTCATAAAGTAGTGTACAAGTTAAAAATTACACAATCGCTCAACGTTTAGTGAGGCTCACAAGTGGTCTAAGCCTTCCATGTGTCAGGTGTCTTGTCATCAACATTAATTCCTAGTTTGTGTTACTCCCGATAAGGAGGGGCTGTTAATTACTAAGGGACTATGTCAGAATTTCCCAAACCTATTTGGTCACTTTAAAAGTTTTCTCATCATATTTAAGGTAGATCCCCTGTACCCCGTCCCAAAATGGTTCCAGTGGTTTATGTAATTAAAGAGCTGATACAATTTGTTTCGTTTGTCAAATCCTGGAGCTTTGGGTATTTTACTGTGATAGGCTGAGAAAAAACAGCTGCTAAACCCACCAAACATTCCAGCAATGGCCAGTTCAAATTCTGAATGGCCATAGAAGGAAGCAGGGTCGAAGATAATTGGCCCAGAGTCGTCCTCAGCCACGTTTCCAGCCCACAGGTCCCCATGCAGCAGAGCAGGAACAATTTCTACATCACAGAACATTTCAGGAATCTTTAGCTGAAAAAACATGGACAAATAAGTAACAGTTAAAGACACTTGAATAAAATAGTAAATAAAATGAAGTACTGTAGCATATAAGAGACTAAGCTGGTCAAATACTGCCTGCTTTCAGTCCTCATGGAGTGCTTTTGAAGTTGATGGCTGCAAGCATAAACCTAAACTGTAAATGTTCTTGATTGTTCTTGATAGAGCTTAGCAAATCATTTCATTCACAGTCTAGTAGCAACATCTAGCATTAATGGATTGTTTCTAGGCATGGTTAGTATTGGATGTCACAAGAAATATAAAATAAATTTCATTTAAATTAAAAGGTTTCAGTGGCAAAAAGGGCAGCAGTAGACATTTGTACCAATTAACCAGAATTAAGGAACAAATTTGTGATGCAGCACTTGCAGAGGAATACGTTCCTGGCTGTTTTCTAAGTGCACAAATTGTGACCTGAACCACAGTCTCAGCTGGGAGCCTGGACCAATTAACACAACAAATCTGCCCAGGCAGGAGTCTTACCTACTTTGTAACACCAAGTTCTTAGATAGAATTCACCACCTTACTATTAGTTTTATTCTAAGAAATTAATGTCAGTGCTGAATTACAGGTTTATTTTCATTGTCTATTAAAAAACTGAAAGAGCAACATGAATTCTTTTCAGCTGACAATGTTGCTGGACCAGCTGTGAAGCTCATCCAGTTACTGCTGTTCATTAAAAGCTATAAAAATCTCTTATAAAACACATTCAAAATTCCACTAATACATATTTTCCAACATTCTAAAAAACAGATTTAAGACATGGTTCATACTTTTAGCTGTGACCAAAGTTCTCTGGCTTCTCTGTCCCCATAATCTTTTTCAATCAAATCCAATTGAGCTTGGAGTCGGTGACGAATAAAGAAGGAAGGCCAATCACTCTGCCATTCATTCACCTAGAAAATATGATACAGAGGTTTGTAATACACAATTTTAACATATACATAGTCAGTATTAATAATAAATAGATATCAAGTTGAAGCCTTCAGTGCTGACCCAACGGCCCAGGCAATGACCTATGCACACTGTTATTAAACATTTTATTGATTGTTCTTTTGGGAGCGATGGTCTCTTCCATGCTCAGGTGGGGCTGTCTTTAACATGAGATACAAGTTGAGGTTCTGGCCATTTTCATTCGTTCAAATTTTCTTAATGTATTTTAGAGGGAGAGTCTCTGGTAAGATCATTTCAGTTGTTCCATATTATACTCCAAAATCTTTCTGGAAATGCAAAAGTATTCATTTATTTTTATTGGGTAACGCATTTCTAATTTGGTGAAAAGTTGTACTTAGCAAAGGGTTTGAGATAGTGAAAGTTCATTTGGTTAAATAGCAGAATCAAATTCTACCATGTGCAGAGCCAGCAAATGACTGGCTGATCTCCCAGAGCCCTTCCCAATGTCTTATGTGATGTGTTACATGATGAGCCCCTCTAAAAGCAGTGGATTTTGCCATTTGAGATGCGTATAGTAGGGGTTTAGGAAAAACAAAAACCACTACATGGTATGTGAAGGGATATTTATTTTATTAAGTATCACCAAGCTAAAGAACTACCAGATCATTTCAAATTCTTCCATCTGCTGTGTCTGCCCACTGCATGCATTGTAACAAGCCACACACACTGAAGAGTGAAACTGTGATCCCAAAGCTGAAGGCAGATGTATGAAGCTTGTGTATAAGGAGTTCCTAGAGCTATATGTGTCCCTGTCAGCTTTCCCAGACATGGAACGTACCTGTGGTATATAACCACAGCAAGTGGCTGTATGGAATCCAAACTTATCCACATACTGAGACTCAGAGCAACCTGCTCCTTTACCTAAAAACCAAAATAATTATTGAGAGCTTAGATATTTTTACATAGCAAAGTTTGCAAGCACAGAACTGAATTTCAGAGAACAGGCACACAAAAATAATTTTAAGCAATAAGTTACACGTATTTCATGGTCACAACCCTCTCTAAAGATGGAAAGAACTCTTAAACTTGAAAATATTTAATTGAAATGGAAGCACAATTAGTCCCATTTAATGACTTTGGATAAATGAGTTAAGACATTCAAGAACAGGGTCCAGATCACAGATTCTCTTTCAACTGTTTGACACTTGAGCATGTTGTCATTAAACATGACTTATTTTTGATTCACAGATTATTTGTGACCTGCTAATAATTTGGCCTTCACTCAAAAATAATGGATTGTAGTATGTCCACCACTGAGTTGAACCCAGTCCATCCCTGAAATCATGGGAAAGACACAGGTACAGACTAGTTCAGATTTTAATATTAACTCTAGAAGATGAATAATTCCTGGTATAGCTTCCTTTTTATTTATTTTTGCCTTAATCCACTTTCCAAAGAATGATAGAAGGCGTTTTCATTGAAGTCAACAGAAACTAGATCACAGCCTTACACTGCTGAATTACAGTCGTCTTCAAGGAGAAGCAGTTGTTGTATATTTTGCTACATATTTGAGTTCAAAAATGTAAACCCCAACATCTTTAAAGGGGAACTTAATTATGCGTTTACTAACTGGGGCCATATTTTGTAATAAAGTAATTGTCTGAACCATCAGTAAACAAAAAGAGAATGCCTGTAAGATCAAGAACATTTTAAGAGATTGATGGTACATGAGGCTGAAAGGTTTAACTGACGAAACAAAAAGAGAATGCCTGTAAGATCAAGATTTTAAGAGATTGATGGTATGTGAGGCTGAAAGGTTTAACTGACACTGAAAAAGACAACTCATCCACATTTTCAGTTTGACTTATGAAATGTTGAAAGCTATATCAAATACTAGCAGTATTTCTTACTAAATTTCAGTATCTGCATAATTTTATATAACAAAGTATACACAAATCAAAGAATTAAAAATAATTAAAAATTTGGTTTTGTCAAGGTTAAAAGGATATGTTTAAAAATTGTAATAGTAATTATAGCTCCTGTGTATATAATGTACATTTGAGAAGTGTGGCATAGGGACAGGAGGGACGTATCTTATGAAACAGTGTCCCCAGTACCACAGCCAAAAGAATTATTTCATTTTTGATTTAGTACACAATGTCAATACTCTACCAATTGTGTTTCCTTCCTTTCTCAATTTCTCTCCAAGTTTCTGGTTGTAAAGATGAAGATCTGCCATCTGCTCCCCAAGCTTTGAAGAATATCTGTAGGATCAAAAAACAAAACAAAACGGAAATAAGACAAGTAAACAAAATAATACAGGGGGGGGGAAAAATCTCAATTAAATATGACCAAATATATTTTTGTCAAATATAGAACCTTAATCAACCTCACAAGTACATAACAGGGAGCAAATGATTAGACAAAAACTCTGAGGAAAGAGGTTGTAACAGTTAATAAACCGAACATAAGTCAATGCTCTTGCAAGAAAGGTAAACAGAACCCATGGCTGTGAAAACAGGAGCACAGAGTGCAGGAGGATCAACCCTCCCTATCAGTTCTGTGTTAATAAGCAAAAACCAGAACACGGTATTGACTTTTGGGCCTCATACTTCGAGATCAGTTGAACAGCAGTAAGAACAATAAGTTTTAAAAGAAGCCATAAGCAAAGATTGAGTTGAGGTTGCTTAATGCAGATGACAGACAACTAAAAAACAGTTAAAAGAAAATCTTTCCTAGGAACAGTGGGATGGATTGGAATGGAGTGTTTGGGAAGGCTGCGGAATTACAATTATTCTCCCAATAAAAATAGGTAGGTTGGACAAACAACTGCCAGAAGAGCCAGAAGCATTACTATGTTCCTGTAGAGACCCGAAACGAAGCAGATAACTCCTGAAAGCCTATGTTGAGGAGCATATGACTCCTGAATTCCACATTCAGGTTGGTTAACGGACAAAACAGAACTTCATGTTATCTATCCATTTAGTTCTTCCTCACCCTAGTGCCTTTGAACTTGCTGACTGGCTTCAATCATACTTGAAGATTATACTGAGAGACCCAGAGGTTTCAAAGACATAAGAAGCCCATAAGTTTAAAGAAAACTGATAGGTGGGGAAAAGGAACTCAAAAAAATCTCATGAGGGATAAAAGATGGGCAAAACTCAGTCAGTCATTCTCACATTCACTTCAATACCATCTCAGCACATGTGGACCAGCACACAAAGCTCTAGGCTAGAGACAGGATGCCATTTCTACTGCAGACAGAAGGTCAGGGAAGAGCAAAGTATGGGGAAGGAGTGTATCCACACACACATATATAGATAGGTATATGTATTTTTTTTTATATGTGCACATACACACACACAAACACAGAACTTGACAGACAGAAGTTCCGGCTCTGAAAGAATTGAGAGATTTTTCGTGTTAAGTTTGCTGACTGACTGTAAGATATAAGAAAATATACTCCCAAACATAGTAAAAAGAAAGAGAGGTGTACAGACATACTTGCTGAGGTGCTTCATCTTTAGGTACTCCATGACAAACATTGCTCCTCCTCCAGGCAGGTCAATTACTTTAATAGGCTGAGGCACTCTCACAATATTGGTTTTCTGAATAGCTTCCAAACTTGCCATTTCTCCTTCAAACATTTTTCTAGCCTGTCAGGGAATAAGAATAGCCTTGGGCTGAATTATGGATGTCTGCAACAAGTATGTTGGAAAAAATAGCCTTGTTTACAAAGTTACTAGGAGTTAATTCATCTTGATAAAAGAATGTAGCTGCAGCAAGGTTTCCGTCCACACAGGGAGACTTGAATACCTTAATTCTAACTTGTTTTTTTTTCCCAAATTCATTTCAGGGTAGTAGGATATGTCACATTTCACCATGATTTCCAGTTGCTTATGGAGATACCAAACTACTCAGACATAACAGTGTCTCCGAGGATAATATCCAAGACCTCCTCCTTCAAAACCACAGATAACTGCTACTAACCAAAGTAAAAGATTGAATCCTTAAACTGGTTCTCCTTTCCATGCAGGTCAATGGCCACCAGATGGAGATGACAGTACAAATTTTAAGCCTGTACTCTGCATTTCTGAAGTAAAGATGCTGTTCTTCACAGCAGATTTAGGATGGGTTTGATATTGATAAAGCAAATTTCTGATGCACTGTGCTGTTACAAAAAGCAATTGAGTATCCATTTAGTAATAGAAAAGTCAAGAGCTTGACCTGGAAAATTGCAAGAATCTTACTGCTAGAAATAGAAAAGAAATGAGAAAGTTTGAAACCTCAGTAGCTTTAAAAAGAATACATAAATTTTAGCATTGGCAGTCTGTTTGCTCCCTCCCACTATTCTGTCCTCCCAGCTGACCCATGAAAAGAAATGCAGTGAATGCAAATTTAGCTTTAAGCTTTTCCAAACTCCAAACACTACAATAACATCTCTGTTCTTAGCCTCCATTTTACATATTGCAATGCCAGTTCCCGCTGTTGAGGGTTTTCACATTGCATTACACTTCATTTTGCATTAACCAAACCTGCTGTACTAATGCTTGATATAATATAGGCTACAGCTTTTAAAAGAAAGCTGCAATAATTAAGTCAGCCTGAAAATGCAGAACTCTATTAACAATCAGGTGCTTTTAAAATAAAAAGCTCTCTACATGCAATAATATTAGCAGTTAAATATCTGTAGCATTAACCTGAGGTTTGTGGTTGATTTTAACAAATACTCGTCCACTGTCTGTTTCATAACCTTGGCCTTGGCTAATGTATCCTCCTCCCGAGCTTCCAAATGCCTTCAGAACAGAAGTTTTCAGTTCTGTTTTCAGGATTTTTTCCATGGTGATTTCCAGGCTGCTGCAGCTGCTTTCTGCTAAATCCACTGCGAAACAAGATTAAAGGTTTGGGTCCTTCTTTCACTGTCACTCCGCTATGAGGTAGAAAGGGCCACCCACCGAATTAAAAAAAAAAAAAAAAGCAGCCAAAAATAAAAAACAAATCCCAAGATAATGTTTCAAAATGCTTTGTTTCCCACAGGCTTTTATAGCTATACTTGAAAAGTAAAAATCTTTAGCAATATTTGCTAGAATAAAATGGAGAGGTGTGCCCTGGGTCCTCTCTCAGCCCTGCTGAGAGCTGCTGGTATTTGTAGTTTGGACCCGTTTTTCTTTTTTAAGCTCTGTGAGCGCATTGGCAGAAGAGGTCGTTTGTAACCCAACCCACTAGAGGGAGCTCAAACGCAACAACACAAACTGCGCACACGCATTGTGGTTATTTCAAATGTGAAAAACAAAGTTGCAGCCTGTAAGGGTGCAATCAAATCATGCTGCTGACCCTAAGTCCGTCACCAGAAATTTGGGGAAAGGTTGACGGGCTTTTTCTCTGCTTGTAGTTGCTTTGTGTGGACTGGATTTCTGTTCTCATCACCGAGATCTTTAGAACACTTCCCCTTCTTGGGACATAATTCAATCTCTTGTGAGACAGTAAAAAGATGTTTATTGCCTGAAAGTGCCCTCAAGTCAATGAGTGGTATTTGTAGTTTGGACCCGTTTTTCTTTTTTAAGCTCTGTGAGCGCATTGGCAGAAGAGGTCGTTTGTAACCCAACCCACTAGAGGGAGCTTAAACGCAACAGCACAAATTGCGCACACGCATTTTGGTTATTTAAAATGTGAAAAACAAAGTTGCAGCCTATAAGGGTGCAATCAAATCATGCTGCTGACCCTAAGTCCGTCACCAGAAATTTGGGGAAAGGTTGATGGGCTTTTTCTCTGCTTCTAGTTGCTTTGTGTGGACTGGATTTCTGTTCTCATCACCGAGATCTTTAGAACACTTCCCCTTCTTGGGACATAATTCAATCTCTTGTGAGACAGTAAAAAGATTTTTATTGCCTGAAAGTGCCCTCAGGTCAGTGAAATAGTGATGTGCTCAGGGCTGGACATTATCAGTTGAAAATTCATAGTAAAAGCATCAAACTGGTAATAAAGAAATTTGGGGTACTATATACTTCTCCAGATTTAATGCCATCTTTAGGACATGATTTCACCTTTTTATCTCCTTTCACAATCTGTAACAGACAGAAAGAAGATCCTTTGAGTACTCCTGAATTTAATCACTTCATACTTGCAAAGTGCATTGACACCCTCAGGTATAAAGTGTTCAACCTTTAAAAGTCGTTATCATAACCCAGACCCTACAATATTTGTTTTAGTAACATCTGTATAAAGATAACTTTTTTGGTTCAGTGGCTATAACCAACTCCCAGCACATTACAATTCTGTGGAAAAGGCAGCATTTCTTGTTCTTGCTTGGAGCAGCAACGCCTACCATCTCCCCAGGGAATTTCTGGATTCTGTTGTCACCGCTGCACTGTGCTTTCATGCATTTTACTGTCTCCTCACTATTGATTCATATGAGCTATTTAGTTTTGTCAGAAAAAGGAATGATTACTGGACAAATCCTGCCTTCTCTTAGGGAGGCTTTTCACTACATTCACAAATGGTTCCAGCCCTACATGGAGTGAAAAATATTGGTATAATACAAGTTATTTCTCAAACAAGCAGTTTCTCAGAACATAGCTCCTTATGGTACACAGAGCAGCTGGAACACAGCAGACCTCAAGGGGACAAAATGGCTAGGGAGGAACTTTGCTAACATCCAGATTTACTCAAATTTACACATGCACTCAAAAAAAATTGATTATGGCTGTAGATCTTGGACAGACTGAGGCAGTTAGTTAATATGACTCATAGTGAAAATGCCAAGCAATTTGAGTTTCAGGGTATAGGAAGCCCTAAAGAGTATCCAACTATTAGAACAAGGGTGTCCAGCTGCTAAAGGCGGGAATCATACCTTGGGTTGCAATGGAGCACTGGAGGAAGGAACAAATTTTTTTGGCAACAAACTAAACAACAACAAGCAGGGACCTTATTTCTGCATAGTGAAAGATACTCTAATTAATTCTTCTATTTATGTATTAAGGAGGAAAAAAAAAAGCAAGCTCCAAAACATGAAACAAACAAGGAGACTGAATCTTCATCCACAATATTACTACTGATCCCAAAATTTTTGCAGTCTAGTAAGCTATGGACTTGTCTCCTACAGTTTCCAGTGAAGATGCCAATAGCTACTGATTGTAACACTTTTTCAGCATTCCCACATTTTGTTTTATTTTTGTTGAACCAGAAACAGGACTGTGTTAAACCAAATATATTGCATCACTTCCGTAGCAGCCAAGAGATAGGAAAGCCTTCTGTTTGCTTCCACGCTGGATCGATCCTGAACTAGCAATGCACAGGTGAAAGGCCCAGTTTCCTAACGTTTTGTTGACATTCCTTTCAGACAAGAAGCTTCAAAACACCACCGTTTCAAACACTGGAAATAAAACAACTGAAAAGCATCCCAGATGGGCTGGATGGAACAGGGTGCTTCCAAAGCCCCCCGTCAATGCAAGCTCCTGGCAGGGACAATTCAGCACCACGGCCAGAGCCCAAAGGAGGGGAGCAGCCGGTGGGGAGTCACAAAGGACCCTCCGAGTGAGTTGTCATCTCCTGGTTTGAGACCTGTCCTCAGAGTTATGCTTACAGTGGAGTTTGTAACTGCTTCACTTCCCAGCTCCTGTCTTCTTGTTTTGCTCACAACTGCTTCTAACGTGTTTCCTCTCAAAGACTGTCCAGAAGACAGACTGATATCCCCGGTTTCCTCTCAAAGACTGTCCAGAAGACAGATATCCCCATGCACGCCAATGAGAAAAAAGATTGTTTACTTCTCCTTTGGGAGTAACAGTATCTAGAGAATCATAGGAAACAGAGAAGCTATATAGAACAGTGAAAGCCAAGAGCAAGAAAAGACTTCCATCATAAAAACCTCCCTTCCTTTGACAGCAGTTATATTTTCTCAGTAAAGAACTGTCCGAGGACAAGTAATTCAGAGCTCCTTTAATCTTATAAATCTGATCTTCAGTATAATTGCACAGACTGTAGCTCTGTACACAATATCAACACAATTTCAGTGCATTTTTGGAGGTTTCATTGAAAAGTGTGTTGAGAGCAATTGAATATTATTTTACAAAGAAAAATAATAAAGCTATTGTGATTCTGGTGTGGCTTTGTTACCAGAAATAAATTTCCCCCTTAAATCTTGTCACAAACAGTGCCTACAAGACAAGCTAATTATATGCCACTTCCCACCCGCTTTTACTTCTGCTAGAACGGTCCAGCAGCAGTTAAAATCACCAGAGCTATTTTGGAACAACAGTGAAGACAAAAAGCAGGAACAAAAACAGTACCAGAGTGAAACATTGGTATCTGCAGGCAGCTTTTCCAGCTGGCAGCTGTCCATGAGGATGAAAACTAAGTCACACTGATATGCAGGGTGCACAGAACTACAAGCAATGCAGCAAAAATACGGGTTCTTGTACAGAGGTTCAAAACTGATGTATTTTGATAATGAGGACAGTCAAGACATGAAACAGGTAGACTGGAGAGGTTGTGCAGCCTCCATCCTGGGAGGTTTTCAAGACCAGGCAAAGACCTAAGTAACCTGGCCTGTCCTCACAGCTCATCCTGCTTTAAGCAGGGGATGGAACTAAGTGACCTCCTGAGATGTGTCCCAACCTGAATTTTCCTATGATCCTAACCATTGAGGCCAGATTTCCAAGCTTCCCTTCTCCTAACTCCTCTCCAATCTTAAATTAAGAAATTAAAGAATAACAAAGGCATGCCTAGAACACATAATGCAACAAAATGATTGAAGAGGAGAATTCTAGGAGCAGTGCAGAACTATACAATACATAAGAAAAAAAAAAATTACCTTTTAGAACTGCAGCAATTTCTTCTTAAGGGTCCACTATCAGCCCGCCTTCAGAAGAGAAGATTTCATCCCTTCTCCATCCTCTGATTCAGCTGTTATCTATAAGAACTCAAAACCAAGGGATCCGTGGTACAGTAGAGCTTGCTGTTACTTCCCATTTGTATTTCTCTCTACACCCCTTCCATTTTTAAGTGAAGCACAAAATAGCTTTGAAAAAGTGAGCAGTATATCCCTTAAATTAAATTTCTAAATTCAGTTGTTGATATTTCCGTAATTTGCATACAACACAATTTTCCTTCAATCACAAAAATATCTTGATTCAGTTCTACTGGGAAAAGGTGATCTTTCAAGACTTACCATTTATCACTCAAAGCTATGACTGACAGAAAATCCACTTTCATATCACTTTTCCTCTTCTAATGCTAAAAAGTATTTAGGTATTTTAGCAAAATAAACATGTTGATTTGTTGAACCATTGTAAACAGAATGACCTTGTTAAATAACTTCTGACTTCATTGTGAAGGCGTATGAAAATAAACTGTTAAAGAATTGAACCAGATTAAATACTGGCTAAAATTCCACTTCTTCAATCGGCTGCACTAAGCAGCATTACGTTTGGGTGAACGGGATAAGGATACAGGCACAGACATGAACCAGATTAAATACTGGCTAAAATTCCACAACACTTCTTCAATTGGCTGCACTAAGCAGTGTTACATGTGGGTGAATGGGATAAGGATACAGGCACAGACAAAACATTTCATCAACAATATCCAAACAGCTGGTACAATACCTAAAGTTTGAATGCACATATAGGACCTCAAACAATACTGTAACCAAACAACACAAATTTTCTTCAGTGACAGGCTGCTCCAGATTAAAATCTATGGCTACGTTCCCATCAACACCTTTGAAGCACATAATTCTCTAACAAACTAGAGACCTCTGACAGGTCAGAACAAATAGCTCCCCAAGAACGGACGCAATCTGTAATGTTTTAATTCAGAAAACAGAGACAGCAAGAATCAACTGGGAAACTTTTTATTTAAGCAATGAGGTAAAAGTAAAAGCTATTCTACCAAGCAAGGCTTTAAAACTTTTTACACAAAAGTTAAACAGCCAGTGGGAAGAGTAGTAGAATTAAGGAAAGTTATATCAAGTGATCGTCTTTTCTAAACTTGCTTCCCATTTGTGTAAGCAACTGCAAAACCAGCAACTAAAAAACCCGCTGTAATTTTCAATATCCAATGAAAAACATTTTTAATTAATTAAAGTCATTCCCAAACACTCAAAATGCTTGTTAGGAATCATGCACCTCTCTCACCTACCTGGTACACTCCCACTGCAATGTCATTACCAGCCTAGACCAAAAGGAGTACAACGTTAGGATCCCCAGCTGCAGGTACAGCTGCTCTGCACAGCCACCCTTAAAGAACTTCTGACCCTGATGTGGAGCTGCTGCTCTGTGAGTTACATTTTATCTTCCTTTGGTTTCATGGCTCTTATCCCAAGAGCTACAAAGTGCACTTAGTGGGGACTGAAAAAAAATGTTAGCTTATGGCACCTGTAGTGGAAACTACAAAAAATTTATGTGAAGCCTGTACCGCAACCAGATGGCATTATCCTGTGAGCAGTGACAACAGTCAAAAAGTACATCTTCTCTCTGTATGAGTGAGAGTGTACCTCTTCACAGGATGTGTACTTGAAAAAAAGTCTGTAAGAATGCACACTATTGGGCAAAAGCTTAATCCAAAAAAAAAGAAGAGAGCTAGTTCTGCTAAAACCTAAACTGCTGTAGATAAGAGCCCACTGACCAGCAAGCACAGAACAGCCTACGAGGGTGCCATGAGGCACCAAAATGCACATGCCAGAAAATATTATAAGCATTTTCACACAGCTTTGTAACAGAACAGGAAGCAGTCTCCATCCAATAGAATCACATTAGCATAATGAATAGCAAGTCTAAATCATTTTTCACAGTTGCCATTATATAATTTTCTTCTTGACTTTCCAAATATTTTGTTAGCATTGTTCTCATGCACGTAACTGGACATGGAGAGCTGAAAGGTGGGGAGAGCATCAAAAAGTAACGAGCAACTTTTTCAGCCATCTCCTTGGTCACTGAGAAAAATCAATTCTCCATTTCACCAACACTCCTCTAATTAGGTCTCCCATTAGGGTACAAATGCAATCCCTGATATTTCTCTACTCTGAAGCACAACTGGTCCCTAAGAAAGAACTTCTTCCAAATAATTTACTCTTGAGTGCTTGATCTGCATTAATTTGTCAAGTCTCAACCATACAAAGCTTTCTTAACACCAGCAGATCTTTTGTGCAACTGAATAAACTCCTTAGCTATTTCCCTCATAAAGATATTCCCAGCTATCCTAAAAAGGGATGACTACATTACACTCGGTATTTAGCAGGAATCACTGATTCTAGGTCTTTAGCTGTGCAACAAGGTCAAGGGTCTAATAGCTTTTTTTAACATTACTACTCCTGTAGTTGCACCACCAAGTATGGGGTTTTCCAAGCAACATAGGAAGTGTCCTACTTCAGCAGGAAGTCACTTTACAAGGTTTCTCATAATGTTTAGAGAAGACCCTCTGTACCCTGTACCAAAATGGTTCCAATGGTTCATGTAGTGAAAAAGCTGATAAAGCTTTAGGCGTTTCTCAAACCCTGCAGCTTTGGGAATTTTACTGTGGTAAGCAGAGTAAAAAGAACTGCTGAAGCCACCAAACATCCCAGCTATTGCAAGCTCATACTCTGAATGGCCGTAGAAAGAAGCCGGATCGAAGATAATTGGACCAGAATCATCCTCAGCTACGTTTCCGCCCCAGAGATCTCCATGCAGGAGAGCAGGAACAACTTCTACGTCACAGAACAAACTGGGAATCTTCAGCTGCAGGGGGAAAAATGCAAGACATGTAAGTACTACACTTTAAAGTGAATGATTACAGAATTTTAGCTGCACAGGTGCAGAGCATGAATGAAACTTCTTAAAAGTCCATTAAAAAAAAACCACAACTTGAAACAGCATAGGACCTAGTCAACAGAGGTGCTGAGAAAACAAAGAGGATTTCTATTTTTCATAAAAGCCAGCAGCTGGAGAATAGTCAACCAAATGGTTTTTAGCATTAAGGAAGTAAAAAATTTAAAATGGGATTCGGTGCTACAGTATTGACCAGCTTTAATAACAACAACTAGCCAGCAGCTGGAGAATAGTCAACCAAATGCTTTTTAGCTCTAAGAAAGTAAAAAATTTAAAATGGGATTCAGTGCTACAGTATTGACCAGCTTTAATAAAACAACCCCAACCACCCACTTCATTATTAGAAGGCTCAGGAATCTCTCACCAACCTTGAAGAGATTCCTACAAATCGCTAATACTGCAGTCACTTAAGCAGAGGCAAACCTTAAATGGATAATGTGCAGAACAGCACTGCTTGGATACATTTCTCATCAGGAACGTGTTAGAGGGAGTGAGAAATGTGACCATGATCTAGTATGGATACATTTCTCATCAGGAACGTGTTAGAGATCTAGTAATTCCCAAACAGCAAGGCAAGGTGCCACTTGGCCCACATTCACTTTGGAATATTAGCATAGGGTGATGTGGCAAAAGCCATTAGACCTTAGAATGAAAAGCATTTTAATCCCTAAAAGCTGGAATCTCCTACCAACAGAACCTGGAGCATATAAACAAGCAGGAACTTTGATGTATGAAAAAAAAATCTACACAACTGATACCTAGCTATTGATATCATGAGAGTTGAGAGAAGTTCCCCTACCTGAAGTTGTGCCCAAAGTTCTCTCGCTTCCCTGTCTCCTGAATTCTTTTCAATCATGTCCATCTGGGGCTGGATTCTTTGCCTGGCGAAGAAAGTCACCCAGTCATTCTGCCAGTCATTCACCTGATGGAACAGGATTGCAGATGTCAGTCCTACACTGCACAACGCACCCATTTTCTTCTTTTTCAAATAAAGCTTTGGAGGATTATACAGCCTTTGTGCTGATACCATCCAGGACAGTAAATGCTACCATTTAATAGACTGTTATCTTAAAACATTAAATTAGGGGAATAAATAATTTTCTCAAAGTGATAAAACCCAAGAAACTGAAGAGCTATGAATGTCCAATGCAGCTGTAAGTGCTGTCCAAAGCACTACCTTCCTTAGCAGGCTGAACAATTTTTTCTTTTTATGACTCTACAGAAAATGATCATAATGGGAATTGATTTATTTGGCCCTTTGTGTCACTGAAGGGAAAATAAGATAAACTTAAAATTCTATCAGTCTGATGAAGCACAACCTACCTGTGGGAGATAGCCACAGCAGGTAACTGTATGAAAGCCAAATTGATCCACAAACTGGACTTCCATTTGCCCTTGACCTTTACCTTTCAAACCAAAGACAAAAATCCAATACTAATGACAAGATTCTAAGTATCTGCAATGCAAATGGACCTTAAAAACTACGCAAGGGTACAATTGCTGCTTCTACTGAGAATAAAAAAAATTGCACCTTAACACTCTTTTTGTTACAATAGTTGTCGCTGTTCGTTCTTAAGTTTAAAGGCTGATGTAAAGCAGCTATATTATAATCTTCAAATCATAATTTGAGGTAGCATATCTCCTCTGACATCATGTCCTTGCAGAAACTGTTGTTTGGGATGCCAAGGGTCCCAAATTGAATAAACGTTTTGCTTACAGAGATCCAAATAGATTGAACAAAAGCAAAAAGACAACCCCCTGCCTGGGTGTTTCATCCAAATCTATTCTTGTAATATCTTAGTGGAAAAAGACAAACTTATCCTGAAACAACAAAAGCTATTTTATATTTTGTAGATTATTATTAACTAGGTTAAATTTACAAACAGCTGTGTACTGTACCAACTGTGCTCTCTTCTTTCTTCAGCTTCTCTCCAAGCTGCTGGTTATGAAGGTGGAGATCAGCCAATTGTGTTCCAAGCTTTGCTGAATGTCTAAGAAACAAAAGTATTCTTAGCAACACTGACACATGAATGAATCTGGTTCTTGATATTCCAGGAGTTACTCGAAAAGGTTTATCAAGCAAATAAAATAAGTTCTGCATCTCTAACATTTTCAAAATTTTCCAGTTATAAACACCTCATCTTCCTACAAAGATTACGTATTAACATAGAACAAAGTGTACTTACGTGGTTGTTTCTGACAACACTATTAAAAGTGAAAGTGAGAAGCAATTTAGTAACAATGAGAAACTATCAGTTCTAATTTCTGTGTGATATCACTTCTATATGAACTTTCAGCAAAATATCTGTAAGAAAACTATGCACAACATGTTATGCTGCGTTTCTTTGGGGGGGCAGGGGGAAATAGAGCCAAACGGCAAAATATCTGTAAGAAAACTATGCACAACTGTTATGCTGCACTTCTTTTGGGGGCGGGGGGAAATAGAGCCAAACAAGATTCATCCTCCTCTTTATATTTGTCTCTGGCTTCTCTCTAAAAGGCCTAGAGGATGGAAGAGTCAGGTAGGCCTTATTTATTTACCTATTTTTAATAAAAGCTTATCTTCTACACAGTTCAGAAAATTTTACAGTTCCCTGCTGTATAACTTCCCAAATATATCTTGATTTGATTCAAAAAAACACAGAAAACAAGTTTCCCCTCTAAAAACAAGTGACCTAATTGTCATAATAGTCACAATTTCTGGTTAAAGGATGCAAAGATAATACTGTGTTTTACCTGTTTAAGCCTCTCATTTCCAAATGTTCCATCACAAACAGCGTATTGCCCCCTGGCAGGTCTATAACTTTGATGGGTTTAGGCACTTTTATCGTCTGGGTTTTCAGGAGGGCTTCCAGACTTGCCATTTCTCCCTCAAACATTCTTCTGGCCTGCGAAAGGAAAGCATCAGTCTCTTTGAACACCATTCAGAGGTAAACAAAGCTCTTTCACAAAACCAGTGAAGGCTGTATGTATTAAACAAAAAGGTTGGAGCAAGCAGTTACTGCATGTACAAGATATAGATCGATCCATATCACCAGATTTGACAGTAATTTTACAGCTACAGAAATTTCATTTCATAAACAGACTCTGTGGAAGTGACTTAGGTTCTGGCATTCTCTGTAACCATAAAAATAACTTAATGAGTGTGTTTGCAATTGAAGGAGTGCAAAGTGCTTATATATAAAATGTAAGCAATATTTTATTAATAGATTATGCAGCAAATGTCTAGAAAGCTATAGGCAACATACATCAACAGCTGAGAGACTAGAAGAATGGTGCTGACATTCACAGTCTTCATGACTTTCCTGAGAGACTGCTTAGCAATACAGCCAACCTTCACTATAGTCTAATTCGCAGTCACAGAATGATTTTCTCTGGCCTATTTCTTTTGCCTCATGGGGAAAAAAAAATGGATTTAGGAACTATTTCTGCAACTGTTATCCACACTGGGTAAAATCTATTCTCGAGTTGCTCCACTGACATCAGTGACACTAGTCACACGAAGAAACACTGCTCTAGAAGACTTAGGCAAAGGTTGCAGAAAAAGGTTATCTGGGAAATCTATGGTATCTGCTAAAAGCAAAAGAAAGGAAATATAATGAATAAAATAGAACCAGAATACTAGCCCTTTAGTACTGATACATGAAACACAGTCAAAGGACAATGTGCAACACTGACTAAAAATTCCAAAGCCTACAGGAGATCAAGAATGAAGAACTGCTGAATTACTGAGCCTCAAATTAGCTTTGTTCAGAGGAAATCAGTAAATACTGTATCTCTGTCTAAAGCATGATAATAGGTTAAAGTCAGCTGCTAACTTTTAACAGAGTAAAAAACCCAGTATTTTCTAAAGAACTTTGTTTTTCTAAAGAAACTGCTGATATACACCCACTGCTGCACACACAGCACAGCATTGTAATACAGTTTGGCAAAGTTCGCTTTAATCAGCACCCAGAATCCACACAGGGGCAAAAGCATAGAACATTAAATGATTACTGAATAGAAAATCCATCCAGACCTTTTTTTCCAAGCCCTACCTTGTAACTAGCAGACTGTACACCTGAATACACAATTAACAAAGGCCTAAGTGGAAGTGCTATACTGCTATATAATCCAAACTACTTTCAGTTTAATGTAAAGCAGGAAATCCCTTCCATATTTCCCCATGTTATCACCTCAGCGCATCCACCCAGCTCCTGTTTGTGGTCAGAAAGAATCATAGAATCATTGAGGTTGGAAGAGACCCTTGGGATCATCGAGTCCAACCATCTACCCTACTCTACAGAGTCTTCCCCTACACCATGTCCCTCAGTACCACATCTAAACGTTCCTTAAACACATCCAGAGATGGTGACTCGACCACCTCCCTGGGCAGCCTATTCCAATGCCTGACTGCTCTCTCTGTGAAAAATTCTTTCCTAATGTTCAGTCTAAACCTACCCTGTTGGAGCTTGAAGCCGTTCCCTCTTGTTCTGTCATTAATTATCTGTGAGAAGAGACCAGCACCAACCTCTCTACAGTGTCCTTTCAAGCTTAGGCAAATTTGAAATAGATACAGTTGCACACATGCTTTCAAAAACATTAGTTTGCTGTTAAAGGCAAATACAAGTTCTGACTTCTGTTCTTCCAGCGAAGCTTTTCATTTGACAAACACAAATGCAGAGTACCTTTAAGGTAAATTCCACCTGATCTCTGCTTTTGCAAATAAGGATGCCATGCAGGTACATTGCGTTATACTAATCTCTATCAAATGCAGGTATCTAACTTTTACAGTGGCTGGTACCAGGTGTTGAAAGGACAAAGCAGAAAACCTTGGTAAATAATTGTGGAAAAATATCATTTCTTGAGAAAAGCTCCTTCTGATGTGCAGGGAATTACTGGCTTTGTTACAAAGACAGATGCATATACCCTCGGTAGATAATTTTGTGGCTTCTGGGTTGCTCCAGACGCTCTCACAGCACAGGCAGCCACAACCACCCACCACTACCCCAGCCGTGGCTGACAACAGCATGATACCGCACTGCATGCCCTGGGCAAACACCACCGGTACCGCACCAGCAGCCCACCAGAAACGCTGCTTCCCCGCCCAGGGCCTACCCCCGCCACAGACCAGCCCCCAGACCTGCCGCAGCCGCCCGCCAGCCCCTCTCCCCGGGCAGAAGCTGCCCAAGGCTGCCGGCCTCTAACCCTCTAACAGCCCAAGCTTCACCGCCAGAGGCCCAGTGAGCAAACCTCCCTCCACCGAGCAGAGGCCGAGCCCAACCCGCCGCCCGTCTCCTCAGCGGGGCCGCCCCCACAGCTGCCTCCCGCCCCGCCGCCGGGCCCGCCACACGCACCCCCCACCCGCGACCCCGACCCCCCTCACAGAATCACAGAATCTTCTAGGTTGGAAGGGACCTTAAAGATCATCTTGTCCAACTGTCAACCTAACTGACAAAAATAGACACCCACACAACAAACAAGAAGCAACACCATCACTAAACCATACCTCCCAGCACTACATCAACCCGTCTTTTGAACACCTCCAGGGATGGTGCCTCAACCACCTCCCTGGGCAGCCCATTCCAATGGCTGAGAACCCTTTCTGTAAAAAAATGTTTCCTAATATCCAGCCTGAACCTCCCCTGGCGTAACTTGAGGCCATTTCCTCTCGTCCTGTTGCCTGTGACTTGGGAGAAGAGACCGACCCCCACTTCTCTACACCCTCCTTTCAGGGAGTTGTAGAGAGCAATAAGGTCTCCCCTCAGCCTCTTCTTCTCCAGGCTAAACACCCCCAGCTCCCTCAGCTTCTCCTCATAAGACTTGTGCTCCAGACCCCTCACCAGCTTTGTTGCCCTCACACACACCTCCGCCTTGGAGTTGCTCTTCACGTACACCCGGCCATGGTCCGTGTCGTAGCTCTGCCCTTGGCTGATGCAGCCGCCCCCCGAGTACCCCGTGGGCCGCAGCACGGCGGTGCCCAGCTCCCGCTTCAGCGCCTCCTCCATGCTGCCTGCCGGGGCCGCCGCCTCACTGCGCCTGCGCGGAGCGGCTGCGCCTGCGCGGGGCCGCTAACGGCGCGCGGGAGGGGCCGGCAAAATGGCGGCGGCGGCGGCGGCGGCGGCGGCGGCTGAGGTGGGAAGGTTGGAAGGTTGGCAGGTTGGCCAGTTGGCCAGTAGCCCGGGCGATAGGGACTGGCCAAGGGTGAGGGCTCGGTTGTAGGCGCTGGGGAGGGACACGGGAGGAGCCGCTTCTTCTCGGCGGGTGGAGAGAGAAGCGCTAAATCGCTTCTCAGAGACAGACGGGGAGGAGCGGGGGGCTGCGGCCGGGCCTCGGGGCCGGGAAGCGGTTGCTGTAGGTGGGCAACCGGGCCTGGGAGAGGCCCTGGGCCCGGTGGGGCTGGGCGGGATGCTAAATAATGCCAGCCAAAATCCCAGCGCTCCCGGGATGCGTTTTGTACTTCAGAGAGGCTGTAAATACACTTTTGTTTGAACTCATTCCCCTGGGGCTTTTGGTGACTTCTTTCCTGCTGTAGGTACAGAGGATGCACGTGTCAAGGAAAAGATGTTACAGTAGGGCAATATATGTAACAAAAGCAATGGGTGGTCATTTTTAAATATTTGGATTTAATGTGCTTTCTGGGCGTTATAAAGGTACATGCTCAAATTCATTGTGTCCTTCAACAATAACAAGAACAGCTGGCTGGTTTTGGACTCTGGCCTGCGTAGGTCTGAAGTAAATTAATATATCCTTTCCCATGAGAATTTGCTACTTATTTAGCAAGTGACTTCTTATTTAAAATATACATTTCTATGCTTAGAAGCTGGAAAAGTTCTTACTGATTTTTTGTATGTTTCTTCATTAGTGCAAGATTGTGTACTTTCATTTTGTACTACTTAAATGTCTGTAGTCTCACTGGTTATAATCACTAATTCATCTTTTGCTATTCCTGACCATGTCCCTATTAATTTTGTCTTGCTTGGGGTTTTTAAGAGTATTACTGTGCTGCCTGGGCAATTTAGACACCGATGGATATACACCTGTTTCCATATAGTAGTTAATACAAATAGCAGTTGAGGCTAATTTAGAGTTATTGATGCGTGCTTTCAAATTTTAAACTGGATTTTGCTTTAGAAGCTTTTTTTTTTTTTGGAAAATTATAGCTCAGAGTCCTCTAATAGTTCCTGTGGAGCAGCAAAATACCAAGTGGTGAAAGGACTGAAGTTCATTATTTCCAGAAGTCGGTGTACCTTTACTTTTCAAGAGTTGCTCTACAGCTTTCATCTTTCTTTTCTTTTTTTTTTTTTTTTTGAACTTTGTTCATGTAGAAGCTGGTATTTTGAATTTGGCAGGATTTCTGGATCCACAGCAGTCCTGGGAAACTTACCATAAAATTTTTGCTAGGCTTCTATATTTCCAGCTGGTTTTAGAGATCCTGGACAAATCCTGAACGTGCTGTGTTTGCACCAAATCCAAAACTTGCAAGATTTATTAGATATACAAGATGTGCTGCATAATTCTTGTGTGTGTGCATCATGTATTTGCTCTCTTAGAAAGCAATTGATGGATGAACATAGTCAGGAGCCAATGAGCTACGCAGTGCATCAGAAATTTGACATCTCTAATTTGTCAGATTTAGCACATGTACCAAGACTATTCGTGTGGCAGATTTATACCAGAATCAGTGCTTTTTAGAAGCATACGTTCATTATCAGTCTAAAAAATCCAGAACTGACACACAATAGCTGCAGCTTGGGCTTTTAGCCACTCCATCCATGTATGTCATCAGCATGCTGAGTCTTGCTTGCAGAAGGTTGGTTGGATGATTTGTGTAGAAAGAAATTCTTTGCTGTGAGGGTGGTGAGAGCCTGGCCCAGGTTGCCCAGAGAAGCTGTGGCTGCCCCATCCCTGGAGGGGTTCAAGGCCAGGTTGGAGGGGGCTTGGAGCAACCTGGTCTGGTGGGTTGGAACTCAATGATCTTTAAGGTCCCTTCCAACTCTAACCTGTGATTCTATGATCTTGCCTTTTGTGTAGCAGAGCAGGGATTTCAGTTAACAATCTTGGCTGTAGAGGGCGTTATAATTTGTGGATGTGACATTGATAGCCTAAAACCAAAGAATCTGTGGTTTACCCAGAACCAGGGATAAATTAGTACCACAAGAGCATGGAAACGCAAATGAGAATATGTTTTTGTATGGTGGAATCTATTTTCTGTCACATATTGGCTCTCCTTTTTTGTAAAATTAGCCTTAAACCGTTGTTGCAAAGGTTGGATTCAGACGTCTGCAATGGTTGATGAAGAATGATTGAGATTATGCTGAGGGAGACTTTAAATCTCCATTTGGAGTCTAGGAATCAGCAGCAGATGCTGTGGAAAATAATGCTGTGGGTTTTCTTTGAACCTTCTTTCTTATTTAGAGAGCAAAGGAGTAACGTCCATTCTGAGAGCAAGGAGACTTGCTTTTTCATTTTGTAGTTTTTAAAGAACTATGAGAATAGGAAGAATTCAAAACCTGCATTTTTATTAAATGACACTTCTGCAACTCTGAAAATTTGTGTTGTGTCTGATTATTATATTTTATTTATGTCTTCTTTTGACAAGGCAATTAGAAACCAATCAGAATTTGTTAAATAGATTCAATGGAGTTAAAATAAAATGAAATGTGTGGTTCAGTCTTCAAATACTAAGTCATAGTAGAATATTCCATACTGTCAGCAGAGAAGTTTGCCACGCTGTGCTGAAGGACAGCATAGTGAATGTTGTAGGAGTAAAGAGCTGTTGCCCTTCATTCTCTAGAATTTAATTGGATTGTACTTTCCGATTGCATCCGATCAGATAGGATGTAACAGAAGTTTGGCCAAAATTGTAATGTCAAGCTCATTAATTACATGGTGGACATAATCTGAAGGAGGAACTGTCAGCTTGCTTTGCAAATGAGAGGTTAAGTGTTCTGGAAGAAACTCAGCGAGACCCACAAGACATTGCATTCCTAAAGACACTACAGAGCATCTGTTTGCAGGAGGCCTGGGCTCCCAACTCCTGCAGACATTGGAGCTCGGTGAGAGCTGGGATTTGGGAGTTGCTTCTTCCCAGATACCCTTTTCAGTGGAAGTTCCAGCTCCAAGCCCTCCCAAGCCTGCTGCATCTCATCTTTGGCCTCTGTGCCATAGATTGCTGTTCCCTATTTGGAATAAACTATTGTGTCAGGCACCAATGGTACTTAGAGAGAACTACAAAAAACAGCTCACCCATACGCTGAAGTTTTTCGTGCAGTGCAGGTCTGGCCTGCTGTGTGAAGGCAGCGTATACCACAAAAGGCCATGGGGCAGTGTGGGTTGACTTGGCAATAATCCTTTCTTCCCTGCCTCCTCTCTCTTCCCCCATGTATCATTTATTCCTATTTGAGTATTTCAAATGCAGTATGCTATTCAAACCACCCCTTTCCTCTGCCCTGTTGGGGTTCACCAGCAATATTTATCTTGCTCTGCTGCACGCTGGCTTGCCTGTGAGATCCACAGCGGTTAACTTTCTGTTTAAAATAGTGTTTCTTTCCGTGGAGGAGAAGACAACTGGCAAGCTGGGCTGCAAATTATTTGGTGAGTCATCAGTTAATACACACATCCTGAATAAAAAAGCACTGCAGCTGCTAATTTCTGTTTACTGCTTGACAGTATGTACAAGAAGAGAAAAGGTAATTGGTATGTGTAGCCTTTTATTGCTTGGTTTATATATATATGTGGAAAATATGCATTAGGGCTTTTCAGGCTCCAAGCCCCTATTTGTGTGAACATGAGAGAAATGTGCTCTGGGCTCTTTGTCTTTTTACCTCTCCCACATCCCTGGACAGGCCGAGAGGGTGGGTCAGGAAGGATGTAGGACTTTCCATTGCGGAAAGAGATGATTTATAAGACACTCACTGCAATTTGGTGTTAGTACTTGTTTTTCTCTCTGTTTCCTTAAACAAAATTTGCTCTGAGAACGACAAATAGTTTTTTTTTTAAATTCCTCGGGTCAGCTGTATGAGCAGATAAATGGAAATGGAATGAGAAGTTTCAGTATCAAAATAACAGACTGAGACAGACCTTAGGAGCGTAATTTGGCCATTATTCTGATGTGCAGTGACACTGGGATGGGAATCATTGATGTGTCTGTTCATTTGCAGAGTTAGTGCCTTCATGGATCAGTTTTGAGCAGTTTCTGAAGTGATTTCAGGGCATGATTTAGGATGGAATCTGAATGAAAGTATGACCAAAGCCAGAGTACTTGTTCCTGCTTGTTGCAGAATCAGAAATCGGAGGACCTTTTTCCAGAGTTCATTGGTTTGGGTTTTTCTTCCTCTCTTTTTTTATACTGACTAGGCCAGATTGCCAGCGGATTTTGTTGTTCACTAATTTCTGCCCATCAACAAGAAGTTCAGAGGAAACATTCGGGCTTTTGGATCATTTTAGTAATAATGAATAAAAAATTGTGCTCTTTGTGAGGGTAAAAAAAGTGGTGGGATTTCCATAAGTATAGCTGTGTGAGAGTCTTTTTTATCCTGAACAAGAGAAAATTATTATTATTTGCAGTTCTGACTTTTTGTAGAGCCTAGTTCTGTAAGGCACAGTAAAGGGGTAATATACATGCCATTATTTCTCCTTTCAGCTGCCCCTAGCCAAGTTATCTTAGTGCTTGAAAGTGGGTTAGGAAATGCATTTTCTTTTGTATTATTAAGACAGGTGATGGGTTAAAGATTTGTGGGCGTATTCTAGCTCACTAATTCCTGTATAAAGTATAACCATGAGCTGCCCTCAAAATAAACCTGGGCTTGGCACAGATTTGTGTTCTAAACATGATTACACGTAAATGTCAGATAAGTGGAAATATTCAGGAAAGTGGAAACATTCCAGAACTCTGCTATTTTTGGCATCAAAACAGACATTTGAAAAGCATTAATTCTTCATTTTCAACAACTGGAAAACTCTTAATATTTTTTAATTTAAAAAGAAGGGCAAATGAACTTTAATTGCCAAGCTCTATGTTATGAAAATGCTTGCTTTTTTTTCTCTGCTCTTTCTTAGTGAGCTTTGGGAAAAATCAAACACATAAAAGTTTCAGTAAAGCAAGGTATGATGATTAGTTTGTACTTAGGCATTTTTGTTAGAACATCTCAAAGCACTCCACTGAAATTTGTGGTCAAAATCCCATGCCATTCCTCTGTACTAGATGCAGCAAGTAACTTTGATAGGTCTGAAAACCTGAGGCAGAAAAAATGCGAGTGAGTTGGCCAGGTTTGTAGAGGAAGGCTGTGTTGGGATCGGGGCTGGAGCACTGGTTTCCTGGTGCCCAGGGCTGGACTCCAGCTGTCTAGAAGTTGCTTCCACAGGAAGAGTACAAATGACTACGAGGACTGGATTTAGCCCATCTCAAAATAAAAACTGAAATGGAAGTTGTGACAGATGACGCATCTGCAAGAAGAGCACGTCTCTCTCTTTCCATCTGTGGGCCTTCTACAGTAAAACGCTGGAGCCTGAGAAACTGTCGTCTGTTGCTGCAAATTTATTATCCCACCTCCAACAGGACTTTGGTTCCATAAAGTGGTGAGTGGATTATAAGGAGGTGCAATTATTGGACCTGTGAGTGTGCCAGCGGGAAAATGGCCTGGGTGACACCGGGAACGTGGTGCTTTGATGCCCAGGAGTGAATGCTACAGGACAGGTTGTGCTCTTCTCTTTGCACTGGATTAAAATTAACGAGGAATGATACAACAATATTCATGAGTTGACATCTTTCTTTGCAATCCTGAAATAAAATAAGCATGTTAAGACTTTTTTTTTTTTTTTTTTTTTTTTTTTTAAGAGACTAGTACATTGACATTGCATCTTACCCATATAAGATTTTATTAGTCAAGGACTTTGTTGCTGTTCTTTTGAGTAGAAATATAAGGTATAGATATATTTCTATCAATTAGCACTTACGTTTGGGTGCAGCTAATGCAGAGTGTCTGATGTATTCATTTCCTCTGACTTAGGTGTACTTTGGGCAAAGTGTGGGTGGGGTGCAGTAAAACAAGGACATAAAGACCTTGCGTGAAGTTGTCATTTTTATGTGGAGTGATACTTTGGGTATATGGGGCTATTTTTGATGTTTGTTTCTGTCTCTCTTTGTATGAATGGGTTTTTGTAGCAGTTTGACACTACTAAATTTTCTCTTTGGGAGTTATTCAGGGTTAGAAAGATTTTCTTATAGATTTTTTTTTTTTTAATTATATTTGTTGACAGACATGCTACAAGCAAAGGACAAGAAGGTCATGAAGGACCTGGTGTAGAGTTTAGGCAGTAAATAGATGCATTTAAGAATTGAGTTTTCCCTGTAAGTTCTTTGTCCAGTCGCTTGCAGTTTTCCTCGCTGGCCCGACACCCGGGGTTAGAGGCGGTGGCACCTTCTTCTAGAAACCTGCTGGATTTGGTTTAACGGCACAGGAAGAGTGAGTGTGAGAAACACCGACTCACATCTTAGAATTTAAAGAGGACAATGTCACCGAAGCAAAAGTTTAAAAATTTATTAATACGAAACAGCGCTGAATCGGGTGCACCAAAAATAGATGCACGCGCAGTTTTTTGATTTTTGTATATTTATACCTTATCCCGGCTGCTTAAACTTCTGTCTCTCCTTCTCATTGGCTGAGAAGTTGGAGCTCACGTTCTTCCCGACCGCCTAACCTATCGCAGGTTTAGCCTATATCTTTTTCTACCGTATAAGGCATATACACACCTATTCTACGAAATTTTATCTTGAACATATCATTCTCTTCATCAGGTGGTCGCATCCTCGTCTTCATCAGCTGCCCCCCCCTTTTTCCCTGTGAGCGGGCCTACTTGGCAGCCTTTACTGTCCACCTGGCAGATTCACTGTCCAAGCCTTGTTCTTTTAGTCTTATTGATACTTTTCTATCTTCTTGGTCCCTATGTTGAAGGACACGTTCCAGTCTGTTTCTCTTCACCTAGATAACACTCTGAGAACAAGGACATTTCAACGGACCAAGAACATCTGTAGGGATTAGTTAGATACAATTTGTTAATTTTTATTACTACTACTAAAGCTTCTTTGTTAGTACTATCACACTAACAATGATACATCAATTAGCTGAAGCAAAACTTAGCTCGTTTCCCACAGTGAGCATTTACTCCAGAGATGATCCCTTTCCCCTCGCTCCCTACAACATAGTGCGTGTCAGGGTGTGTTTGGTTGGGGACGTGGTGTGGTGCCTGTGTGGTGGGGCTGGAAGGAAGTGTGACATCTCATCCCCATTCTGTACAAATACACAGGAATAGCAGAATGTGGATAGCGGGAGGACAACGCCAGCCAACACTGCTGTGGATACGATAAAAATTAAAGAACGTGTCTCTTCCAGCTATGAATATCCTAAACACCCGACTGAGGTGTGAGGGTGAGGGCCTTCCAAGGGCTGTAGCTACAGCCAGGACTCCCCTTCTGCCGGGTGGTTGGTTCCGTGCTTGGAACCAACCAAGGTCCAAAGTCCTTGTCCAATGTTCCTTGTCCAGAAGCTGCTGTTACTTCGCACAGGCCTTCCGCCGCCCTGCCCGAGCCCCAGGGTCCCTTGCCAGCCTCCGCACGCCACAGGTTTAGCCTATATCTTTTTCTACCGTATAAGGCATATACACACCTATTCTACGAAATTTTATCTTGAACATATCATTCTCTTCATCAGGTGGTCGCATCCTCGTCTTCATCAGCTGCCCCCCCCTTTTTCCCTGTGAGCGGGCCTACTTGGCAGCCTTTACTGTCCACCTGGCAGATTCACTGTCCAAGCCTTGTTCTTTTAGTCTTATTGATACTTTTCTATCTTCTTGGTCCCTATGTTGAAGGACACGTTCCAGTCTGTTTCTCTTCACCTAGATAACACTCTGAGAACAAGGACATTTCAACGGACCAAGAACATCTGTAGGGATTAGTTAGATACAATTTGTTAATTTTTATTACTACTACTAAAGCTTCTTTGTTAGTACTATCACACTAACAATGATACATCAATTAGCTGAAGCAAAACTTAGCTCGTTTCCCACAGTGAGCATTTACTCCAGAGATGATCCCTTTCCCCTCGCTCCCTACAACATAGTGCGTGTCAGGGTGTGTTTGGTTGGGGACGTGGTGTGGTGCCTGTGTGGTGGGGCTGGAAGGAAGTGTGACATCTCATCCCCATTCTGTACAAATACACAGGAATAGCAGAATGTGGATAGCGGGAGGACAACGCCAGCCAACACTGCTGTGGATACGATAAAAATTAAAGAACGTGTCTCTTCCAGCTATGAATATCCTAAACACCCGACTGAGGTGTGAGGGTGAGGGCCTTCCAAGGGCTGTAGCTACAGCCAGGACTCCCCTTCTGCCGGGTGGTTGGTTCCGTGCTTGGAACCAACCAAGGTCCAAAGTCCTTGTCCAATGTTCCTTGTCCAGAAGCTGCTGTTACTTCGCACAGGCCTTCCGCCGCCCTGCCCGAGCCCCAGGGTCCCTTGCCAGCCTCCGCACGCCGGAGGAGCCCTGTCGGAGGGGCTGGGGCTCGAACCCAAGGCCTCGCAACTCCGCGCCAGGCAAACCGCTCCCCTCCGGCGGGGCGGGGCGACCAAGTGCGATTGATGGGGGAAAGAGCCAATGGCCGCCTTAGAGTCCCCTAGCAACTGGGCCGCTGTGTCCTGCTGGGAACACGAGGAAGGGGGCGGTCGAGCTTTGCCTTCCCCCAATGGAAGCCGAGGAGGGCGGGGCTAGTGCTCCTTGGTTCACCAATAGGAGAAGGCGGAGGGGCCTGTAGCTCCCTCGCCGAGGCGGGGCCGCCGTTTCGGGGCGCCAATGAATGCTGAGGAGGGCGGGGGCGGGAACGAACCGTCCAATAGTGGGGCTCGGGGGCGGGGCGGAGC